CAGTACTAATCTAGATGACACTGTATCTGACAGAAATGCTACAATCAATCAAAGAGATTTGAGATGTTTTGTTCTCTACAATTACGTATTGTATTCGGTAAAGAAAGAAAAACAGACACAGGTCTTCAGACATACTGAAACATCTGAATAAACAAGTTTCCTTTTCTGCAATTTCACACAGTCTACCAGCCTAGAATCTGATCTTCCCATCAACTGAAAGTTAAGTGGCAGTGTTACAAGATACAAGAGACTACTCCAATCTCAGTCTGTTTACAGTGATCCGCTCTTTTCATTTTTGTTAGCAACTACCCAACACCGATCAGCTAGGCTGGAGGGAACAGGAGAAACTGCACTTCTGAGCCACTGCAGAACTATACTGTGACCCACAGGGAGTTAAAAGCAGCCACTGGCTTTAGTTTGTCTACATTTCAGCAGCCAAAGTTCATACCATTAATTAAGCAGGAAGCAGCAACAGAAGATTCATGTTTGCTTTTGGGGTGAGCACAGCTTGCATGGACTACGTCCTTCAACGCAACCTATGGCTCTTCAGAACACTTTCCACTCAGTGGAACCATTTACAAGCCATACTTTTTGCTACGAGACAGCTGTGTTTTCCAGATCCCAGCAGAGACAGACACTCCATGCAGTCACACACAATGAGATGCTGTTGTAGAGAGGAGTGTGCAGTTTGCTGAGGATCAGCATTGCACTGTTCTTCTCTCTGAGGACACCGAGCATGGAAGACCCTTAGAACAGGCTGCTGACTCTGATTCTGTCCCAGATCACATAAGGCTTACAAGAAGGAATACCGTGGAGTAGAGAAGGGGTGACAGCAGGCACAAAACTGGAGTTTATAGATCTTTCAGCTATGAAAATACAGAAAAACGGCACTCCAGACAACCACGAGACCAAAATCCAAAGGTCCTCCCCATCACACCAAACCTAGCTACAGGGCACTGAAGCGCAGGCAATCCACCCTTCTCCTCAGCAAAGCTTCCACACGCCCCACCGCCATCCCTCTCCACAGAAACAAGCTAGCAGCGTGAAACGGATGATTGCACCGAGGGATGCAAACGGGAGCTTGCCCCGCTAGCCGGGAACGGCGAAGCCCTCCGGTACCTCACGGCTCCCCGGGGGCGGCTCTGTCCGGCAGCGCCTCAGGCACAGCCACAAAATGGGTGACAGAGACGCGGCGGCTCCACCAGCCAGGGGAGGGAGGAGGACGCGGCCGCGGGGCGCGCGCGGGGACCTGAGGTAACTGAGGCGGGAGCAGGGCGGCTGTCACCGCCGGGCTCGGCTGAGGGGTGACAGCGCGGCCGGAGGCCCCTCAGGGCACACGGAGCGCAGGGGGCGGCGGCCGTAAGGAGGAGATCGGACCCGGGAGGCGCGGGAAGGGGCTGCGGGCGGCGGGAGCCCGGGACATGGGCCTTGCTGGGGCCTCCGCGGGTGGCCCCTCAGCGAGCGGGGGTCGGGGCTGAGCTCGCCGGCGCTCGGCGCTTACCGGGCAGCCGCCTCCTTCCCGCTTCTTCGCGGCGCGGCCCGTGTGTAGGGGAGGGGAGGGGAGGGGAAGGGACGGGGACGGGACCGCGCCGGGTGAGGCCGGGCTGGGCCGCGCCGCGAGCTCCGCCGGCGGGAGGGGAGAGGGGGCGCGGAGGGGCGCGCGGGGAGCAGGGACCCCCCCCTCCACCCGCCTCCGCCCCGCCCCTCGCGGGCGGTGCCACCGCACTGCGCATGCGCCAAGCCGCGCGCAGGCCAACTGGTGCCCATGGCGGGGGCAGCAGGGAGGGGCGCGTGCGGGCAGCAGTGGAGCATGCGCAGTCGCCTGCGCCGCGGGGCGGGGCTGGGCTGGGCTGGGCTGGGCTGAGGCGGCGGCGGCTCGAGGCGCTGTGCCGCGCACCTGGGCGTGAGGCGGCGGCGGCGCCGGGTGCAGGTGGCCCCGGGCCCGTGACCGGTTGCGGGTCCGCCGGCGCTGCCCGCGGGGATGGCGCCGGGAAACACGCGGTGCTCTGCCCGCCCTGGCTGCGGCTGCGGCGGCGGCCCGGTGCTGAGCGGCTGCGCTGCCCCTCGGCTGAGGCGGGCCCGGCTCAAGGCTCGTGTCTCGCTGTGGTAAAAAAAACACATAATCTAATTTGGTGTGTTTTGGTGGGTTTTTTTCATGGAATAAACCCGTCTTTTTTAAGCTGCAGAGAACCCTTGAGGAGGGAACCCGCGGGTGTGCAATAAAGCTCGAGAGTGAAGGTGCGGCGGTGGCGGCCTCGCGTCACCGTTAGAGCCAGGGCCCGGAGCGCTGGCACGGCCCAGGCTGCCGAGGAGGGGGCAGAGGAGCTGTAGGTTTCCTAAAGCTGTGGCTGTGCCGTACACCGCGATGTTAGGTGATTTACGGGTGTCCATCTGAGCAAGAAGGAGATGTTCAAGTGCTGCGGGCAGTAGCTTTGCTTGCAAGAATTTAATGCGAGCGCAGGTTTTCTGACTTCCAGCTCCTAAAAGACTGCTCTAAACTAGGTTTTGTAGTGCAACGTTTGACTTGTCACGTATAACAGGCAACTGCAATTAATAAACCCAAATGATAGTGTTGGTGCTTTAGTGGGAGGTATAGCCGAGTCTGCATTTACAAGTGTTGGCTAGAAAGTGCTATGAGCACAGTAACTAAGTGAGACCAAGGCATTAGGCCTTAGCTGAAATAACGTTGCTTTTTAGCATGAGTATGGCTTAGCACCTAAACGTGAATCCTGGCTTGACAGGGTGCCCCTCTGAGGATGGGAACCTGACTTTCTGGTGAAGCATGATAAACAATGCATTAGAATTGGGACCTGTAGACGCCTTGCATCTGCTTCTGTAAATTGGTTCTAAGCAGGCACATCCCTAATGGTAAGTTATGATAACAATTTCAGCAAAGAACTAAGCACGTAGCTTGCAGGTATTAGTAGTTGAAAGCTGAAAGGTAACCAATAGACTGTCATTGTAGCCCTAACCCGAGTGTGCAGTAGGATAAGAGGACTACAGTTATATAACTTACCCAATTGTATGTGTTCATGCTTTAGGTAAAATTATATCAAGATGGGAATGTAAAGTATAAAAATCCCCGAAATTTACTGTGCTTTGGAGATGTGTATGGAGGTTTGAACCCCCACGTGCTCCCAGTGCCGACGGAGGTCTGTGCCTTACTTACAGTGTGTACTGTGAAGTGATTTGTTTAAATCAAAGACAATGTACTGACTTGATATTCCTGTGAGAGTTTCCTCATCAGGGTTTCTGTTTAGCTCAGGCCATGGGTTAAAGCCCCTGTCCCAGCAACAATGCAACTGTTTTATTGAAAGGAATGCCTCAGTGTAAGATTGCATTGCAGCCTCTCCCCTGGGGTACTTTTGCTCCTAGAATTCATAGGCCTGTAGATTGTGAGTGCAAGTCTGATTTACAGCCCCATTGTGATCTTGGGTAAAATTTGCTAATTGTAAATCGAAGTAAATGACATTCAGGTTTCATCAGAATCCACTTTAAAACTGAGGATGTTTGTCTGTGGTTCAGCCTTACCAGCTGGGCTTAAACCATGACAGTGTTACAACGTAGTTTGGTTTACATTGAGGGGAAAATGTCCTATTTATGTGTCTGATAAAGTCACTTCAAGGACACAGCATACCTATTTGACATTGAAAGGCTATTTTATACTTAAGTAATATTTCTGGTGTTTGTTTCCAAACAGTACAATGTCACTCCACTATTTTCTGATCCATGATAGATTGAACAAAATGTTGTTCTGCGTGTCTTCCTTTAGATTGATTTTAAAGTTGCCAGTAAGACTGTGGCATTTCGATGACAATCAGTAGCATTATGCTGTACTAGGGATGTGGAGATGCCTGCTTTTGTTTTGTACAGTGTATTTCTCACCATAGCCCACAAAGGGGCTCTGCTTTCTCTTCTCTAGCAGGAAAGAACAGGTTTCGTTCAGCTAGTGAATGAATGAATAAGCTGCTAGGTGGCAGTGCATATGGCTGGTTCAGGAACTTACAAGGTCCCTAAAAAACCCTGCCTAAACCTGCAGCATCATATCCTGTAATGTGTGCAAGGGCTGTCTACTAGGAAAGATTTCTCATTGTTGTTATGTTCAGGATTAGACTGCCCAAGAGGATGATCCAGGAGAATCTCCATAATTAGAGGCTTCTAACAAAGAGCAGATGAATGTCTCCAGAGTCGAGCAGGTACAGCTGATCCTGTCTCAGACTGACAGCTGTATCCTGCAGGGCCTCTGGATGAGCAGCTGCCTCGGGGCAGCCTGTCTGAGCCTCGGGAAGCAGTGTAAGGGCTGCCTGGAAAATGAAAGGCAGCTGCTCCAGTGTAGCAATTTGCACAGACCATCCATGGTTATTATGCACTCTAGTATGTTCTTTCTCATCCTGCTCCAGCCTTAAGTTTCATTTGTTCCTTCTCGTTACAGGGAAGTAGTGTATTGAAACTGTGTACCAGCTGAACTTGATTCGTTTCAAGCCCATGGCTGTGTTGCTCACTCAGCGTCTTCAGGTGGGGGAAAGCAGCTAGGAGAAATGGCTGGGAAGTAGCAGCCTGGTAGCAGTGAAGGAATTGAACAGTGAAGGGAGTGATGCAGTAAGAGCATGGCTGTGTGAGCGGAACACATGGCATAGGACATCACAGCTTCCAAGCTCATGCAGGGATGTCCTGATACGGTTCCATGTGATTGCTCTACAAAGGTATGCTTTGTAATGGAGTGAGAACAATTCTGGAGACTTCTACATTGAAGCCATCTGAAAACTATTTTGAAGCTATTGCATATTTTACAGCTACACCACTGGCAGGAAGTATTCATGTTAGTCATTGATCTCCTTCTTTTCCCAATACAGGTGGCAAGTATGATCATTTATTTTTCTTGATCTGCATCTCATTTCAGTGTTAGTTTTGAACACATTCAGCTAAATTTTTCTCTGCTTTGGATATCACCCTTGAGACGTCATCTTTGTGATCCACACTGAATGAAAATCAGCTAGAATGCTTCCAAGCAGGTATCTTTATTATAGAGAGGTTTATATATTATATTAAGTTGGACTATAGCAAAACATAAATGTACTTTAATTACATTAATAATTTAAATATTTGATTTAAATAAAGCACCAAGAGAACTTGATTTAAATGACTGATTCAGTTTCCACACCAATTCCTACAAAACCCACTAGTTTCATGCAACGTTTGAATAACCTAGAGGACAGAGCTGACTTCTTAGCAAATACGTAACTACAGCTGAAGTGCTCTGCACACAAAGGTAAAGTTTACAAGGTTTGAGATGGTTTGCATTCTGAAGCAATACTCCTACAAAGGGGTTAATACAGATTGAAAATGGACTGGTTTGCTCAGCTGTGTCTCTACCTTACATGTAAACTATTTCCTCACATTATAGCTGGGTTTGTTTAATTCTGTACTAACCTCTAGAGTTTAAGTGATGCAGCTTTTACCTTCTCAAACATGTAGGCCCAGGTTTTAGTTAAAGAAGACCAAAAGAACCTGACGTAGATACAGGAGATTTTATTTAACATTGTGTACAAAGAAAGGCTACAAATGCCTTAGACATTTTTCCCCAAATACAGTTTTTTTGATCCCTTTTTTATACCACTTTTCTCAGAAAAAGAAAAAAACATCCAGAATGACAGTTCCCCCCCCCCCTTCCCTTTTTCTTCTCTCTTTGGGCCTAAACTGAGAGATGTTTAGCAGTACAGTTTCAACACCTTTCAGTATTAAACTACTATTAGGTTTTCTTCTCCAAAACCAGAGCACTTTTAGATACTGAAGCAATAGCAACAGCAGTGTAAAATGTCAAAACCTGACTCCCTAACATGGTAGTGTTAAAACAATGCCAACAGTATTAACTCTGATGAAACCCAAAGTTATCCAAACAATACATCTTCTACACCTGATAATTTAGCACTAATCATATAATTTAATTGTATTTATATTTAAATAAATAGTCTTAACTCCTTTCCTTGGAATTCTTCACAGATTATAAACACTTGCAATACTAGAGATAGGAATAAACTACACAACTTACAGAGGCAAGAGGAGGCTTTGTTTTATTTCTTTTGCTGGACAGACACAGAAAGGACATTTCACGGTGTCCTGCTGAGATAGATAATCTTTAAGTTCACTTTCATTGCGGTGCTTCTCAGGCATCCAACACAACAATTCCTTACCCTCTTTTGCTGCCTTGGTAATCACTTTTGGTACTGATATCCCAGCTCCTGAAACATCTGTCCCCGTGTAGCCAAGTTTTATCCAGGATTCCACAAGTTTTGCAGAATAAGGTAACCAAAGCCCAAAACAAGATTTCTCTGAAGCTTTGAGCAGCAGTAAATAAGGGATTAGAAGAGGCTGTTGGGAAGAAATGGGAAGAAATGTCCTTTTGCTATGGCAGCTTTTACATTACCATCATATAGATGAAAGATGGAAAAGATATGAATCAGTTTTCAGCTATTTGCATAATCCCTAGAGTTAGTGTAGTCCTAATTTCTCCCAAAATAGCACTGAAATGGAGGAAATTTGAGCTACTTTATGTAGACTGGGATTCAGTTAGGCACAGTAAGAAAGAACTGGATGTTTTTTCCTCTAACTGCCTTCTGGATCTCACTCAAACTGCCCGAGAAGTGATGTGAGCACCTAAGGACCAAGGCCATCGCTCGCTGGTCGGCTCTGCCTGTTGTGATTCTTGTTTTGGGTCATCTGCAGAAAGCTGCTGTATTCTTCCAGGCAGGAAGCTGCTCTGTACGCGAGCCTGCCCTTTTGTACACCCACAGGGATATAAAATGGCCTTGCCACATGAGTCATTCTGCAGATTAGAGAAATGGGGCATCTGTACAATGTCTTTGGTTCTCAGAACATCTTGTCACTGGGGAAAAAGGCTGCAACAGCCACACAAACAAAAGCTCTAGTGGAAAATGAGGAGTTTTCTCCGTTTTTGACGAGGACATGAACATGACTGCAGCAGAGCAAACACAGCCTTGGGGACTCAAGCATATTAATTCCCAAATATGTTTGCACAGGTGTAATTAATGGAATCTTATTTAACTTGCAAAACAGGAATACACTAGCCCAGAGCTTTAGCAATACTTGGTCTATTCCGTACCGTAAGACTGGAAATACTTCAGTTATCTTCAGGGGCAGCTCTGCTACAAACTGAACCCCCCCGTGTGGTAGTTTTTACAGTGCAGAATGACATGAAGTGATTTCTGTTGGAAAAGGAGGGGTCTTTCTCACTGCAAGGTGAAACACAGCAGTAAGGACTTAAGTGATGGAAAATGCTTGCATGGTTCACCTGTGTGTTTCTGCAAGGGTCTCCAGCAATTCCACTATTGGATGGTAACACAGAATCAACAGTGGATGCAAACGAGGTCATTTAATAGTTTTCTAATTCATGGCAATAGCATTTACGTATTTGTTTGCCCTAAAAGGCCTGAACTAGGGATATAAGCAAGGGAGGAGGAGAATCAAGTTTACACTCAGGTTTGCTTTGGTCCTACTGTTTCAAACCACCTCATCGTTACAGCATATGGTGGCATTTTATCCTTGCAGGCCAGAAACAGACTTTTACCTTAAAAACCAATCTACCTTTCTGGTTCTGTTAGTTTTTTTGTTCTCTGCAGTGGTGTTTTACCCATGGTAATACACAGACTCTAATGCTTCTCCCTGTCTATTGCCACAGGAGTGTGGGGAAATGTAGAGAGCAAGTGATAAGCATTGCATTCTTAGCACTGAACTGTGGATTTTCGATTGCAAGCAAGAGGGACCGCAGCACAGAACTGGGAGGCTACAGTAGCTAAATTCCTGGGGTTCCTAAATTAATGTTTATTTACTGGCAAGACAGCTGTTGCTCCCAGTTACCTGGGGAGTAAGCCTTCTTCCAGAACTTGGAATGAGATCTTCTTTCTAGTCCCAGACAATATGATCTGAGTGATTTCTAATTATGCTTCTCTTTTGTATTACTTTCACTCCCTAAATTAAGGAATAATCATTAAGTGCTTCCTTTAGGGCTTCTGTTGCTTTTAAGGGCAATGCATGTATTTAATTCTACTCAATGAGAAAATCCATAGAATACATATGAATGTTCTTTTCATTCCACTTCAGAATGGGGAGTCGCTAATACAGATCTACCTACAGCTCCAGTATCCCAGTCGCACACAGCCTGTGTTAAAGGAAGTGAATAGTATCATAGCTGTACTACGATGATGTCAGCAAAGCTTACAGAGAAAAACATACCCAGGCTACAAATTTATGAGGGCATAAACACGAATGCCCTTAGAAACTGCCCTTTCAGATTTTGCTTCTTCAAGGACCTGAAGCAAACCCCTTACACGCAGCATGAACATATTTATCTGTGGTGTGTTCCCACACGGCCACACCTTCTTGAACTGAAGGAAAAACAGAAAGGCAGCAGTTTTTTCTTAAAACTTTTCTCATTCCTAAGAGTCCCACATCCAAAAATGTTATCCCAGGAGGTGAGCAAGCACTGAAACCAAGGGGTTAACCAGGGAGGAATCAGAGAAGGTTGGGTTTTGCCATCAGATTTTCACCATTTTTAAAAGCCATATTGGTCAATTTACATTTTATACATACTTGAAAGAATGGCACATTAAGATGAATGAACACATTGCGATGCCTTCCAGTGTTACAGGTGTGACAGATTCGGAGATCCACATATGCTTTAAAGAACAGTACATTTGTTTAAATAAACTCATAGGAAACTAACATAAACAACCGTAAAACAGACTTCTAAACAGGTAAAATGCATGAAGTGTAAAAATACCGCATCTCCCATGAACAGACTCTGTGGTTCCACCACCCTGTGGCCAACGAAACTGTTGCAGTTTTGCCTCAAAACGGTGCCGGCCGATTGCTTCGTCAAAGCAACTAAGGGTCAGAATGGAGGCAGGCAGTGGGCATGAGCAACTACAGTCACTGCGCTGCCCTAGCGTGCCCTTAGCTGATCCACTGAAAAATAGCAGCATTGAAGTACAGCTTGAAAAAGCCCAGCTACTGCCTCCGCTTGTTAAAACTGTGCAAGAATAAAGAACACCAGCAGCATCTTAATGGATGTGTTTCAATTTGGTTTCAGATGCTCCCCTCCTATACAAAGCACATCCAAACACAAAACTGAAACCGATCTAATAACTGTTATTTCTTGTCCATCTCTGAAAACTCTTCCCATAATTTGCTTTACTTTTTTAAATTTTACCTAAACTCTTCTGTGTTCAGAAAAAAAAAAACATTCTAACTTTAAAATAGTTTTTAAATGCCAGGAAACTGATGCTTTTTCCTCTCCTTGACCTGCAGATACACAGAGCATCCTCATCACCCCAGTTTCTTAAGTTCAAGTTCTGACATTTCAGATTTCTGTTACTGATAGCTACACTTTTAGGAAGGTCTCTCCAATACACTAGAAACAGAAAGAACATAAACTCCCAGTGCCCATGTAAAGGGTAGTTTGTTTGCTAGTTTGCTCTTATGTTGTTTATATTGTACCTTTGTGACATAGGAAATGGAAGAGTTAGGTTTTTCTGACAGAGCTTGCAAGGGAACAGATCAGAGTAGAAATCAGAAGGCCTTCTCTGAAGCCAAGTTTTGCAATTCCCTTTTTGTTTAAGTATGATAAGGTTTATTAAAAACATAACTAAAGTATCAAAAAAAAAAACAAACCCCAACCAGCACCTTTTGGAAATCCTTGTGGAAACATAAGGCTATTTGAAAAAACTTAATTGCAAAAGTAAAGGAAATTCAAGAAATCAATTCTCATATTTCCAATCAGTCCATGATTTCATCATCAGCAATAGGATGTGCTACCTTCTCCAGCCCAAAATTACCAGCTTTGGGGAAAACATATTCACACTTAACAGAAATAATTAACGGGTTAAGTTAAATTAACTTTTTCCCTGATCCACATGCCTGCATGTTAGATAGTGTTACAGTAGAAATGAGCATTGTAATGAGAGACTAAAAGCAACAACCTGTAACAGTAACCAAAGCAAAAGCCATTTTCTCATGGTTACATACAATAGATCAGTAATTTAATATTAAAATTAACCTCCTATATAAATAAAAATAAACACGTTGGGCAGAAGTAAATTGGCACAGTCATTATGGTATTGCTTTCCAGTTTCAACACTGCAAAGGGCAGCCACGGATTCCAAACACCAAAAGGAAAAGGCCTTCACCAACCACCTGCTGCAGTTGGGGTTTTTCTCCTTTCAAGGTAAGTCATCAGCATTGCTGCTGCCTCCAAGATCCCAAACAACAGCTTGGAAGAGGTAGGGGTGCCGCTGGCAGGACAGGGATTGCTATGGAACTGCTATGTGACAATGAGAGCAAATACAGAAAACCAAACCCAGGGCGTGTGGTTTACTGCATGACTGTTCTTAAGTCAATGGTTTTCAGGATTGTGACTAATTTTTACCTTAAAAAGGCAAATAATAATAAAAATCAAAATCTTACGCCTTCAAGTTTCCTTGCCTTCATTCCCTCCCTCCCCAAAAAAGCACCTCCTACTATAGACACTGTCTCTGGTTTACAGGTTCGGAAGTTGGAATGTAGTGGAAATACATACAAGAGAGAAGGAATTTCTAGTTGTACATTACATTACAAAAAGGTTTTCTCCCAGACCTAGGGATGGAGGGATACTAAGCAATAGTAAATTCCTATAAGAATCCTTACAAAGCATGCAAAATATTGATATACTCACAAAATTGAACTTTATAATTCTTCCTTTTTGAATTTGCAACTTCACAGTACAATGATTTCTAATACGCAGCCGTCAGAATTCCAGTGACTACAGAATCATTTCCCTTTCATTTTCTTTCCATTTGTTTGAAAGATTCCTTTGACTTTTTGTTGAGAGGTTGCAGATCACCCATCAGAAAACGGGAAATTCACGTAACAGGGGTTGCTTTCTTTGTTATACTTCCCCTCAAATGATGTTGACAGCCTAACTACCAATGTTTCCAAACCCATCCCTCCCTCCCCTTCTCATGCCCATTCCTTCCCTTGTCTTCCAGCTGTACTTTTCTCCTCCCCAGGATGACGATGGACAGATGGCACCAAATGCAGAGCTGGGTAGGGAGTGAAGGGCTTGGGGTGCTTCATGCAAATGGAGTCGCTCCCCCCTCCCCCAGGGTGTTCAGCTCAGCTGCTTCAGAGCCGGAATGCTCTGCTCTGCACAGCAGCAGTTGGACTGTCCTGTGCTCCCTGGACAAAGCTGCCCTGCACCCCTGTGTGACCACGGGGGCTTTGACCGCTGTAAGCATGGCAACACAAGGCGGTGTTTGGCTTGACCTGTACTGCTGTATGTAGCTCCATTGATATCTCTTCACTGCTCTTATTTAAAACAGGGTTGGAATTGCTGGAGAATACACAATGAATGCTGCTTGCCGGATTGTCCCTGAAGTACATTCTGACATGGTTTATCAAAGTGGAGCAATCAGAAGAAGGCTCTTGTAGAAGCAATGTACAAAGCCTCCAAAAATTCAAGTATCAAAAAAAACCAAACCAAAAAACCCCAAAAGCAGATGTTCTGAGAAAAGCCTGAAGTAAGCAGCCGCCAAACTGATAGCCACGGGTTATTTTGTCCACAAAGCCTTCAATTCCTTTTGCAGTGATCTTTTCTTTGGAGTGTTGGGAATTAACAGACTTCCCAATTAATTTTCATGCAGTTTGGTGGGGCCTAACGAATTTACCAATCCTGCCTGGATAACATCGCCCCTGCTTTTATATGCAAACAGACAACAGAATCACTGACTCATCCTCCCTGCCTGCTCAATTTGCTGTATTATTTATAATGTAACATCATTAGGTCTGGCTCCCTTAACCCAAGACCCATCAGAAGTGCAGCCTGGGCAAGAGCAGGGCATCTCCTTCCCTAGAGCTGTGGAAACATTTGCAAGGAAAGGGGTGGGCAAGACAAAAATAAACTAAACTAAACTAAACCCCAAGCCCCACACAAACCAACAGCTCGAGTTGTACACAAACCTGTTTAATTGCTTTAGAACCCTGGTCAAATCAAGACTTCAGTTTCTGACGAGGGAATCTCAGATCCCAGACCCTTCCCTTCTGCTCTTCTCTTGCAAAGCAACACTATTTTTGTGGCCTAGAACAGTACTTTATAAACAGCAGTTAGTAAAGACACAGTTGTGATAGATTCTTTAACTCCCCCTCACCCAAAAAGGGGTCTCCTATCAAGTGGTCCAGTAGAAATCTTGAAGTTTCTTTTTGATAAATTAAATCCATAAAGTGAGGAATACCTTCTGTCACATTCCCGACAAGAACAACAGCCACACTGTGGTGCATTTGTTCAAGTGTCTATTGCTCCTCCTAGTGGAGATGCTGCACAGCTCCATCTCCAGTCCAGTTCTGCTCCTACCAATCCAGAGCAGAAGCTTTTCTCCCTCTTCAGCTTGTCACTGGTTAACGAACAGCAGAAGCGCCGAGGGCTGCAGTTCCCCGGGGCAGGAACAGGCCAGCAATGTCTGAAGAAACATCAGTTGTCTTTTTCTCAGGTGTGGCAGGTTTATGCCAAAAGCAGTCTTTTGTGTCCTGTTGGTATCGCAGGCACCTACACCTCTGTGGAAAAGAGAATGCTTTGCCTCTTGCTGTCTGGGGTAGGGATAGTCTCTAGCTGCAGGAAGTACAGAAGAACTTGAACCTGAAAGAGAAAGAGCCCATCAGAAAGCCCTGTTAGCTCACTCTTATCCTGGCTATTGGATAGCTGGCAGACACACCTACAGCTCTCTACCCTGAACACCCTCCGGTTATGTATTTGTTTTAATACAGGGCACAATACCAGCAGGAATATTAAAACCTGCAGAGCTTCAGAGAGACTCTTTTCAGGAGTGCATTCCAGTGTGTAATAACGGTGTTGGTGTTCGTGTTCCAGTGTACTCTAAAAATCTGAGCTATAATTTGCCATTACTCAATCAAGAACATACAAAATGCCCTTGACCAGGGAACAGCCTCTCTGCATCACCTTCAGAAGGCAGCAGTAGCCAAAGAAATCTGAATTTAGCAAAGAATTTTCTTATGCATCAGCGAAGGAGGTTTAAGTCTTGAGGAGCATCATGGAAAACCACTGATGGCCTTTAACCTGACATTTGTTCCATGAAAGCTGTGTTGGTACAGATACAAACTGAACTGTCTCAAGAAACACTGTTCTACAAACAGTCTAAAAGCCTGCGCAGGGGTGAAAGTGTCTGTGGTCCTCAAAAGGCCCAGGCCTTGCCAGAGGACTGCAGTTCCCCAGGTACTGCCTGCACAAGATGCAGTAGCACACTGAGGATTTTACCTGGGACATGACTTCTAGTGACCAACTGTCCGTCATTGTGATGGGCTGCGTCGGGTTGGCAGGGATTTTACTGTCCTTCTCTGAAGGTCTGAGCAGTGTTGGTCCAAAGACAGTTGCAAGATTATGCAGGGACATCTTGTTAATGCTTTCCCTCTCAGCAACTCTGGGAGAAGAAACAATGAAAAAGGCAAGACTTTTAAATACCCACATTTGGAAGTGTCCTTAAGGAAGAAACCGGATTTATTCCTGTTGTAAAAAGTTTTAGATACGTTCAGTCAACCACTCTCAGGAATAAAGGAATGTTTCTCGTCCCAGTTTTATAAATGACAAACTGAGGCACAAAGGTTAGAAGATTTACCTAAGGGCAGAAAAGTCTGCAGCAGAACCACAAGTAAAACACAGATCTCCTGGATCTTCGTCCAGGCCCTCAGTCACAAATCACCTTTCATCTCTCAGTGACAGTTGCTGGTACGTACAAGTTACATATATCAATGTGCAGGAATTGAGCAAGCTTCTTACATTAATATCAACCATACAGTTACAACCATATTACAAAGATCTAGACGAGAGCAGGACCAATCTAAGCAGGGAACTGACAAGCCCAGAGAGCAGAAGCGCTGGACTTTTCAGAAATACATCCTGTTTGATTGCAGACCCCTCTCGAGACAGGGCTTACAAGTCCTTAAACATGGCCAAAGCTTCGTGAGTTACACTAAAACCTTTCCTCATCTCTGTATCCAGATGCAGGTGCAGTTTTGCAGTGATACTGCAGCATTTGCACTAGATAAGCCCAGGGACTTTTGTTACCCTTTTCCTCCAGTTCTAATCCTTTCAATGTAAGTAAGGACAGAGTTCAGAATTTAGTGCCTAAGCGAACATGAGACAACAGCTATCTGATAAGCATTCACCGTAGATCAGCAAATGCTTCTTCCTTTGTGTGATTCAGCATGAGCTCAAGGAAGAGGCTCCTCTTCTCAAAATAATGATGATTTACACATAAAGTAAGTGTCTAAAGGATCCGCATATTACCTTTTTAAATGGTCCAAAAGGAAAAGGAATGTCACAAGGTTGGGCTCTGGAAGTGATAACAACAGATTCAACATACAGCTTTCCTTTGCAACAGGGTCTGAAAGTGCTGCAGGACAGAAAAGAACAAAACACCACCATGAGTGGGAGTTTGACCACATCACTTCCCAAACCAACAAACACAGAAGGCCCTGAAGGGGCTGTAATAGCATCATAGGTTGGAAGGTCAGAGTTGCACATCAGTACCCCACAGGATCTCTTTGTTTCAGACACATAGAGAATCCTTTCCTCTCAAGCAGTTCAAGCGCTTTCACATTTACCACCCTACGATGTTTTTACCCAGACAAGGTATAACCCCACCCCAAGAGGGCTTCCCTGAGTGGGGGACATGGCGTGCTCACCCTCCACAAGCAGGGGCTCATTCTATTCTGAACCCACCCTCAGAAACCTGCACGTTTTCAGCTTACAAGACAGCAGAGCAATTCCCTGTATTCAAGCTCACAGGAGGATGATGCCATTCTGAGCTCCATTCCACTTCCCTAACAGCTTGTTCCAGGCTTCTGTCCGATGCTATAAATATGGGGGTTTAAGAGCAGCCTCATACAGAAGAGTTTCGGTTATGGGGAGTTATTTCTGCTGCTACCTACCAATGCCCTCAGCAAAGTTGGGGTACAGCTCATCTGTGAAGAGGGGTTCAGGCAGCTCCCGGAAGTACAGTTTCAAGGTGCCTGCAATGGCGTTAACATCCATCTCGCTCATCATCACCGACACGTCTTTGTTATCTGGGAGAGGGAAGAGGGGAAGCAGGGTAAAGAAGCTGCTGGCCTTGCATTCCTTCCTTTCTGGCTTTGGCCCTCTTTATTTACCCGCTGTCTTTGCCCAAATAGCTGAGAGTTTTCCTGTTTACGTTCCTCCAGACTTAATGAGCTACTTCTGACAACTGAGCAGCGCTGCACAAATGACTGCAAACAGTTCATAGCTTTAAATGGAGCAGAAGGAACCTCACACCACCCAGGGCTAGTTACACTGTGCCAGCAGCCTCAGCCTGATCTGGAACTAGCCCCACTTGACTGTATTTACATGCGTTTCAACTTTTGTTATTCCAATTCCCTGCCTCTTAACAGCTTAGAAGAAATGATTTCGGGGCTGTCTGACTCCCCACTGAGTGCAGCCAAAGTACACAGGCAATTCAGGGTACTTTGTTCCGTTACTCACATTTCAGTTCTGTGACTATTAAGAACAACAAAACCACCCCCCTTCCCTAAAACAAACAGACCAACCCACAGAGGCAGCGCTGGTTTCACGAAGCTCAGTGTAAACCAGCATCTACTATGAATGAAAAAGGTTGTCTTTCAAAATGTGAACCTTTTCTTGCACTGCTGAAGGCTCAGTTCAGGAATCAATGGGGTTTGTAACTTAGGGCTAGAAGAAAGAAGAAACTTCACAAAGTAAACGAAGAAAAAGTGCAGGGAGGGTGAATTGAGGCACCGGGCACAGGCCTCCTGACTGCCCAGATCAAAGAGAGCTCAAATGCAGCTTGAGCAGTCCTTGGACTGTCCTGTGGAGGCTGGAAGTAGGGCAGAACTTCACTTTTTGTACCTCAGCGATCTGGAGGCATTTCCTCTGCCTGATCTTGGATGCCTGTTGGGACGTACAGGCCATTCTTTTAAACACAGCTCCAGCAAGGAGCCCTTTTATGCTCAAGATCAAAGAAAGCTTTACAGAGCTTGGTCAAAACTATCTGATTTTACAACCTGCAGACATCAATCTGGAGTTAAGAGGAGAACTCGGGAGCCCTGGCAGCCCAACTCCAGTCTCACAAACCCTCTTCCTGGGTAATGTTCCTTGGAACATCTTTCTTTTTGGCTGGCTTCCTTCCATATAACATTCTTAGTTTCAAGGGCTTTTACTAACTTGGAGACCTCACAACTCTGAGGAAATTATGACTTCTGGTTCCTGCCACTTCCCCAGAGGAAGGTGTCTGCCCTTTACACAGATCTGCAAGGCAGGCAAAGCCACCATTCCATGTCTGTTGGGAAGAACAACGGATGTGTTACCTGCTATAGGGACCCACTATGTTGTACACCTTGTATCCGGAGCAGAAGAGTATTAACAAAACATGCAGCCAGTATGTAACCCGATTCTCCTTGTGCGAGGGAATCTCTGCCTCTGAATGCTTCTTGGGGAACAGAAGGCTAAAACCACATCACCACCTGACGGGGAGCTCGCGCGAGGCAAAGGAGAACGTCAGACACAAATACTTACTGACATCAAAGGCGGCTTTCAGAGCTTGGATGTCGGTTGCCACCCCAGAGACACGGTAGATGCCCACCTCCTCCATCCCACGCCGCTCTATCTCCTCCACACACTGGCGAACTATGTAAGGCACCTTTGATCTCTCTCTCCTTAAGAAAGCCAAACAGAAGAGTTCAGTGCAGCCCGTGCCCCCCCTTGCCTGTCACCCCAGCCAGGCCAGCTAACATCACCCCAGCAGTTTGTTGTGCAAACTTTGTCTGGGAAAGGGGGTGGGAGAAAGACTGAGGGGCAATCCAGTCTGAGCTGAAACACTCCTTTTAAAACTGGAGGGGCTTTTCTCACTGTCTCAGCCTGGCTTTGGCTGTTCTACAGCTTCCCTGAGTGCTTGAGCTTCTTTCTGGCCAAGTCCCAGAGCCCCAAAAGCTTGTGACTCTGCTCAGGTGATCAGAGGATTCCCAAGCAGTCCTTGGATACATAGCAACACTGGTGCTTTCAAATCGATGCAATTCCATAGGGAGGAAATACCACACTTCCCAAACTGTGTAACAGAACAAAAAGGTTTCTTTTGGCAAACGATTCATGGCAAAGGATCAGGGGTTAAAATAATACATCAGGATCCAAAGAACTTCAACATTTCTGGTTACGGAAACACCACTGTTTGGTGGCTCTGGAAATTTGTGACCAAGTCGGTTAACTACAGAGTAAAGGGGCAAGGGGTACATCCGGAGCTCAGGAAAGTGATATGCTGTAAGTAAACACCCTGGGTTTCAAAGCCTGGGCCCACACTAGTTTTTCGCCTGCAAAAAATGAAGCTCAGAGGATGTAGAGCACCTCTTTTTTGCAGCCACAGCCTTCTGTGCTCCTGCCCTGTTGAGCAGGCTGGCCTGACCGACCCCTCAGTGCAAGCCCCTGGCCAAGTGGATGTCTAGTATCTTATAGGGAGAAACATGACCCATCAGCTCACTTGGTGACAATAGCTATCTTGACCCCAAAAACCCCGGTCTGCTTCCGGGATGGCATCCTCTTCAGGCTAAACTCCCGACTGGTGAACTTCACTGACAGCTTCACTTCAACCTGGATAGAAAAGAGAAAGAGAACAGCTGCTACTTCTCAAACATTTTCTTTTCTTTTTAATATGCTGCAATGAAGAGCAAGGAATTAAAGCACATGAGAGGTACAGAAGCAGTGCTAACTTCTACTTGCATACTTACTCCGTTCATTGAGATGACCGTGCGTTGCCAGTCTTTGTCCTGCAACACCTGTGGGTCCAGCTGAAAAACACAGAAGTGATGCATGAGCTAGAAGCAGACTTCAGGGAAATCAGCGAGCCTGGAAGGGCTGTGTAAATGAGCAGAGCACCTTCAACAAGCTATTTCTTTTCTATAGGAAAAGATTTCCAAGGTTTCCCCGGCTCCAGCTAACGGGGCACTGCTGTTGTGTGGGTCTGTAAGCAGGGCTGAGGAAGACAGATCTCTGAAATACTTCTGATTTGAAACAAAGGAAGTTGTCTCCCTCTGAAGTTTTCTAGAGACAGATGAGGTTGGATGAGTGTGATATTACTACACTGAAGTAAAAAGCCAGGCTGGAGAACTTCATGGCTCTTTGCTATGAAGCTCATAGCTTCTAAGGAGGACTATGTTCCACTGAATTCAAAAGACATAATCACCCCAACAGTGAGACCAAGGAAGAAAAACATGAAGTGTTTATATATAGAGACAAGTAACTTCAACCAAACCAAACCTCTGTCAGGATGTGACAGAGAAGAAATGGAGAAAATTGGACCAGAAATCATGGAAAGTTGTCCTCCCTCAGCTACCCATTCCTATTCATTTCCGAGCATGGAGGCAGGAGGTACACCTGGCCCTGCTATTACAAACACCCATGAAATAAAAATGAGTCCTGAGGCAAAGCCCTGATCTTCCATTTTGAGCTTTGCCTGATCTCTTTTGAGTGGACAGCAAGGCTGGGGAGCAGCTGACCAGTACTCAGACACCACCCAACAACACCAATACTGCCTGGGAGAGCCCAGACACACCTGAGTGCATGAAGAGTGGCACTCGGCTCAAGCTAGACTGGGATAAGAGATAAGAGAGCTATGTGCATGGGGACTCCTCTCAGTGATCAGAACCAGCCAAAGCAAGCAGTCTTTGGTGCCTCCTGTGATGGTTTTTAACACTTGGCTCTTGAACACTAAAGCACAGTATAAGACCAGGAGGAGGCAACTGCAGCAGACTCCGTGTTCTGAACTTACTGTCATCAGCAAACAAGAAGACACTCAGAAACCAGAGCCACTTCTGCAGCCCAGCTCCTTCCTTGCAGCACCCCATGCAGAAGCAGAGCTCTCTGACAGGTAGAGGTAGATGCTGAAGCAATAGCAACTGCAGTATATCCGGGGAGATCTTAGATGCAGTCATGCTCTTTCAGCTCATCAACAAACCAGCCCAATGCTGCTGTCAGCTACAGACACAGGTGCCCCCTCACCCTTCCCCACTCACCAAAACACACAACCACCAGAGAGAAAGGTTTCTGCTCCCACTGCAGACCCCCCAAGAAGCAACAGACAAGTAAGTCAGGCCAACCTTATCCCTGCGCACTTTGTTACGGACGTGAGCCCACAGCGGGATGCTGCCAGCACACATGTGCTTCCCTGTCGAATTGGACCGGTTCCTGTAGGTGCAGCTCTGGCAGAAACTCCTGAAGACTCCTTGTAAGGAATAGTCAGTAACCAGTAGCTCCCACATCTTGGGACTGCACAAAGGTCCAGGAGACCAATAGGCTGCAGCGCTTAGCTTCAGTGCTTCAGCAAACCCAAACAGCAGACTGCTTGCCAACAGGGTTTGCTTATAAATCGGGCAGAACAGATCCGCCCCGCTGGCGCTGCTGGCCAAGGGCCCCTTGAGCCAGCTAGAATCAGGGCTGTTCTTCCCTGACTTTCCGTGCGGGAAGTTTGGTTCCTTTCAACAACTGCATTCTTTCCCAGAATCAAGAGGAAACCGTTTCTGAAGTGTCTGGTTTCCTCTGAAGAGCAGCCACGCTCAGTATTCCTGACAGCTTGATCTCCAGCTGCCTAAATAGTCATCTCGCTAAGCTGCCAAAACAGCCCTGCTGATAGACACAGTCACAGCCAATCCACCAGCTCAGAAGCAGTTTTCCATATGTTTTTAGAATGGAGACACTGAGACTGTATTATTTATAGGAGGGAAAGACTGCTCAAGAATGAAAGGGAAAGAGGGCCCTGGTAATTGCCAAGAATACTAAAGGAAGAGCCCAGCAGGCTCCAGTTACAGGTTATTGAAGCTAACAGGTGTTACTGGTCATATCCCAGTGATGACCAGGGAACCCCTACAGAACAAAAGCAAGTGAAGTGTTAAAAAGCATGAGCCCAAAAAAGTCTTGCTCTCTCTCAAGAGAGAGCAAAGGGCTGCAAAGGAGCAGTAAAAAGTGTCCTGGAGCCCAAAGCTCACAGAGACTCCTCCTTGCTGGGTAACTACTGGAGCTGAGCATGGACTGTGAGTGTACTTGCTCCTGCCTCTTGCTCCCTTATCTCTGAAGCCTGCTGCAGGGCCAACAGGACCCTGCACTCCCCACCTGCTCTTTGATTCCTGCTTGTATCGAAGGAGGCATCCAGGGAGAACAAGCACCAGGAGTGGTCCTGGCTGACCTGAGGCAACCTGCATAAATCACTGGCAATAACTACAGCAATTAAGAAATCCCCCCCGCCTCCCCTGGTGCTTTTTAAATAGCAAACCAAAACGATGGATGCTAATAAAAGAGCAAAGTTTAAACAAGCTCTCAGCAACAGAGAGACAGGAAGAGCAGGTCTAACAGTCTGAGAAAGCTGCAGCAGGAAATAACAAAGTCAACAGGAAACTAGGAACAGCCTTCAGACTTCGAGCAAGGTTTCAGTCCTGGACCCTATCAATGAGCAACCTTCCAAGGGCAGTAAGAGCAACTCAGGGAGAAGGCAGCTGGAGCAGGCAGGTTGCAAAGCAGACTGAAGACAAAGACAGTGAGTGTGATGCTCCCAGCACAGAGAGGGCCTGTGATGAATGAGATTGTGCTGTCTTATGGCCTCATTTGGAGATCAGTGATCTGGAAGGAGGAACACTGAGCAGAAGAATGTGTTCTACAGCCAGTGTGCCAAAAGCGAGCACAGTGCCAGCTTTGCCAGCTCAGGCAGGGAGCACTGTGAAACGGCTGCTTTCCATTAATGTGACAGGAGATATACTGCACCTCTGAACATTCCCTTCAAACATCTGTTTGGTTTGAGTGACAAAAGGACCTGTCCTATCTCTAAAACTAAAACTGCAAAAAATGGTGTGGTTTCCAAGACCCGTGCAAACAGGACAGACCTGCTATAACCCTCAGCGACTGTATCTCAGGAGCTTGTTTGCACAGCTCACACTGCACAGGGAAAACACAAACCAACCAGTTTGTCTTTACCCCTAAGCACCTCCAGTCCCTTTGTGGCCCACTCCCTGCCATTGGCAGTGGCAAGCTACAGCCCCACATTCACTAATGCACTAAGCAAACGCCTCTCCATATCCTGCATAAACCACAACAGAACAAAGCAGCTCAGCACCACAGGGACCTCTCAGTGCAAGTCTCTGGCCCTCACTGCAGCTTAGGACTGAATTAAGACAGACAAACAGTGTACAGCAGTCAGCAGAGGCTGAGTGTGCAGAACACAGGGTGCTGAGGACATGGGAAAAGGTGAATTGTGGATGCTGGTCCACGGTAAATGCAGCAAGCACTAGAACCAGGGTGTCCGTGCTCTGCCTTAAGGAAACCACCCCAGAGGTCAATGATTTAGTTTTGTTTTCCCCAGAAAAGCAAACATACAGAAAGAGGAAAAGTCAAAGAGGCATCAGTGGAAATGAAATGCCTGGGAGCAATGACTGAGGCAATCTTAAGGTTAGTGTGTTTTATGGTATGTATTCACATTACTTCCTCCCTTTATTGAATCTCCCTGGCAACTTTACACTCCATCAATTTTTAATTGTAACTGATGTGACATACAAGTTGTCAGAGTCTCCCTGCTGCTGGAAACTCCCAGTCCAGCCATAACCCCATTCTTCTCAAAGCTCCCCACTGACATGTTAATCTTTCCCACCATCACCCTTTAGACATGACCCATTGCTTTCTTCATTTTCACTCCGTTTTCATTGCTGGGATACTGTTCTGCATGAGCAAACTGTTTAAATGAACTCAAGTGTGTAAAAGGTTTTCCGAGTTGACACTTGGGAGGTACAGCCTCTGACAATCTGTTTTACATGGAAATCCACCTAGGTATCTGACAACAGCCATGTGCACGGCTATGAGACATCCCCAATAATTAGGGAGAGAGTGATTGTTTTGCATGGCAACAGAGGAATGGTGTTGTGCTGCTACCACAGAATGACTGATCTAAGGTCATATCCTCTGGTTTTCCAGCACTGCCGTGAGGGAGAAGGAAATGGTTTCCCTGAGCTGATCATGCAGAAAAAGGAAAGAAAAGGAAACAGCATTTTTAGGAGGTACCAACTGGAAGAGCTGGATCACAGAGGAAGTATCAGTTTACTCATGTCATTTGTTCCCAAGGCAGAGGCCATTTTTGCTGACATATGTGCCACTTAGATGCAGAGTCTCAGGACCAAACAAAAGGCTGCAACACTCAAAACATGCAGATGTGCCACATAAGGGCAAAATTCAAAGAGCAAAAGGGCCGGTCTCCCGAGTAGCCAAGGTGGATGGCAAGGTAACAACAGAGGGGAAAAAAACAAGTTCAAAATGAGAGCAGCTGATGCTTACAACTGAACTAAGTCTCATGTTCCCGCCCATAAGATAATGTCCATTCCTTTCTCCCCCAAGCCCCAAGTAATTTCAGTTTCAGAGCATACCCAGGAATGGCACCTTCTCCCTGTGTTTCTTACACCCGAGATGTAACAGAAACCCTCAGCCATGCATGCTGGCTGGTTAAACACTGCACATCCTGCCTGTCACTCCCAGGTCTGATGAGGACTGTATTGCCACGTTTCCAGGACGTTCTCCCATATTAAAACACTGTGGGTTTATCTGTCAGGGATGAACCTTGCAGCTTGGCAAGCAATGAAGCTCTCGCATGTGGCTATAAAAAGAGGTAAATAAAATGTTCCATAGGAAAAGAAAATATGAGTAATGGAAGCTATTAAAATTGTTGCCCATTCCTGGAAGCTTCTGACCACATGGACCAATTTCCAGGCTTCCTTCCTCCAGCACCACAATCTGATGGAGAGACTTAATAAACACTCCACAGTCAAAACAGCCCTGGTGCCCCTGATGCATTGTCTTCATCACTGCAGGCCAGAGAATCTGGTGAGTCAGAAATCCCAGTAGTGGGAAGTTGCAGATTTACAATAACAGTCGGCTTAACAATACACTGCAATTTAACCAGCACAGAAATTTCCCTGTTTGTGTCAGCAGGAGGATGCAGACACAACTCTTGACATTTCCAGAGATTTTAACTAAAGGGAAGTTATGAAAAAAGCCTCATCCAGCTTAGGAGACTTGGCCTTTCCACAAGGCAGGTTGTGGCTCAACAATGGCAATGCAGCAAAACCAAGTCAGAAAGCCCGAGACACAACAGCAGTGCTCAAGTAAACTAAATTTGATGTAAAAGCACCTGGGAAAACCCTGACAGAAAATGACTATAAACACAGGGCCTGGAAGGGATGCTGACAGCATCAATACCGCTCACCTTCAGCCACAGATGGTAGCTTGATTTTGGTTTTCTATTATAATGATTTCTTAATAGAGACGTGGTATTTGTTTTAAAAATAAAACTAAAGCAAAATAAAAACCTTCAATAATTCTTACCAACCCAAAATCTCACAGACTTTAAGACCTCTCTTTGCTGCTACTCCATAGTGTTAAAAAGTTGCGTGGTGGGAAAGAATCACTGAGAATTAAGAGGATGTTCTGCACTTTACCACGTTTCTTTATAAACTGCAAGGGGCATTTACTGAAAATAAGGGACCTTTTGCATTTGCCTTTTGTGATACAACTGAATGCAGCTTTTGCACATTCATAAAACCCCTCTTTTTTCCCCCCTCCTTACTGTTTAGGTTTCCCTAAAAGAATCAGGATGCAGTTAATGTTCAAGTGTCTCCAAAGAGTATTTTTACTTATAAAGTGTTTTAAGAGAAGGTACAAGTGCTGTGCATAAAAATACCCACTCTTATGAAAAGAAGAAAAAGTTTAAAATTTAAAATATTTTTATTGATTTTAATACTTCTATGTAAACTATTTAAAGAATTTAGCCGTTCAGTGATTTCAGGATTTCCATTATGAGCACACAAATCTCCAGGGCATTTCAAGGCTGAAAACCTGCTCTTTTGCAGTTACTCAGCTCCAAGGAAAAATAAGCTTTTGTTAGCAGAAGGGACATACAGATTTCTGGTTAGCCTGAGACATACAGGAGCCACGCTGTACCAGCATTTCTTCATTTATATGAAGGTTTTCTTTTAAACACCTACCATGCACTTGATGACAAAAGCCTTCCCTGTAACAGCAGGGCAGCCTCAGGGCTGTGAGGAGGGAGGGAGGGAAAGGAACAGGCCTAAAGAAACTCATTTGGACGATGAACCCTTCCAGAGGAGAGGCGAGATCTCATCCTGCAGGCTGCCCTCAATCAGAGCAGTTCTGAAATCCCACAAATGGCCTGGGCCTGTGTGACCATCGCTCAAACGCTGGAGAAAGCTGTCATCCATGGAGTGATGATCAGTGAAACGTAAATGGAGGAGAATGATGGCATTTTTCAGCATGCCAGAAAGAAAAAGCTATCTGTGCAGAGTCCCTGTTCTGTACAACAGCGAGGCCAGCACAAAGAATGTGCTCTCAGAGCAGGCATTTAAACACCCTCCTAAAGCTGCGGACAGACAGTGCAATGAACTGGCAAGAGATGGGGAACATATTCATCATGTCATCCTCACTGATGGCCGGATTTCTCCTGCCTAGAGCTTTAAAGCTTCATCATACAGCGGCTCCCTGAGAGCAGCATTCATCTGCAACCATCTCATCACCTCCCCTCCTGTATTACAAATTCACCACATAGACAAAGTGTCCCATGCTGATTATCAGCAGTGGAAATCTCAGATGCAGCCTGCTGTCATGGACACTGTACTATGGACACGGCAGTTACCAGGACAATAAGCCTGTCCTTCAAGGCCTTGATAACACACCAATCACCTTCCAGCAAGTAGAGAAGGTAGTATTTCTTCTGCTTGACTTACAAATGGGATAGCACATTCATTGCCTCCTCTTTTGTCACAAATGGAGCATCCCCAACAGCGCCCAGGGCTCAGTGAGAGCGCAGTTCCTATGTACCGTGCTGGAAGTTTTGACGTTAACAGGCAAATCAGAGGTCAAAACATAAATTCTCACGAAAAAGCATCTATTCCTTAAGGGTACTGATGTAGGCAGAGGGGACAAGGCAAGAGGGGAAAAAGCTGCTTTCTGCCTGTGAATCACACTGAATACCTCCCTATCTGGAGAAAAATCTCCAGTGCTGAGACAATCAGAAGGCAGAAAAGCAGCCTCCCTGGTGTTCCAGGATTCAGAAGTCCTGTTATGTTTAGCAGTAAAGGTAGCAGGATTGAATTAAGCACAGTCTTACCTGGATCTGTCCTTTGCCCATTATGCGATCTGTGCTCTCTCCATCCTCTTTAGTAAGCTTGGTTTTGTTGTAGCACTTTTCATAGCACAGAATCCGCAGAGTTTGTGAGCCCTCCAGCTCAATCTCAAACTCCTGCAGGGCACCAGGAAAGAGCAATGAATGCATCACAGCAGGACACCAGTCTCTGAATAATCAATATAGTCTCTGAAAACTCATCAGGAGGGAGCACTTAAGGACTGATCAAAACCACCCCCCTAATGGAGTTGGTCTACAAATAAAGTGAGATTGTATTTTGTATATACAAGTGGTCAAATCAGAGACTAAGATGTTTGACTCCCTAGTCAGGTTTCACTGAGTTTCAGCAAAGCGTCATTCAAAGAAACAAAACTCTCCTACTTTTCCTGTATTTAAATTAGCTCCCCAATAGGTTTGAGTTGGCTGTAAACAGGCAAAATGTCTATAGCTAATTCTTCCCCCTCACAACAAATAAAACAAAACCACCTCCTTCTTCAATGTATTTTTCACCTGTGTCTTTCAAAAAATAACCAGACATGCCTCTGTTTAGATGATGAAATGCTCGACAAGACTCATGTGTACGGAAATGTTTGTTTAGCTAATCCAAGATAAAATCTGCAAGCCCTGACAGCCAAATACATATACACATAAAAGTGTTTTCTGACAGGCAACAAATGCAGCACAAGTACTGAGCATGCAGCAAGTTCTTCCATTTGTGGGCTTTCTGACCATCATATGCTGATGTTTGGCACATGGAGCAAGTCACATTAAGAAAAATCCAACCCACCTCATTCCAGTTGGGCTCCGTGGTGTCCCTGTAAACTCTAGTTTTAGCCTTGTTCACGAAATACCCAAAAGAATCCACCTCTAACGTGCAGTACAAATCTGAGGAGGAGAGACAGAAACTTGTAAAAAATGTCTAGAATCTCCTACCTTGTGTTCATCACTTTCAGGGTGTGTTTTCATCTGCATCTTCTTTGTATTAACATTTGATAACACCATCCAGCACAAACCTCATCATCTGGACTAGCAGAGTTGCCTTTATCAAGCTGAAGTACCAGCGCAGCTGCATAAATGACCTCCACACAGACAAGCCTTTCACCTCTATCAAGAATCAGGTGTATGCTATTACCCGGTATTTCCCAGATCAATCCACAATGAGCAGAAGGTACATACCAAAGAGAAATGAAACTTCCCCAGCTAGACACTGGACCCCATCAATACATTAGAACCAATTTCACTGAGAACAGCATCAGCATCATATCCCTCAGAGAGCTGGTTAGAGGCTAGCCATCAAAACCTCATTCTCTTCACAAATTGGTTCATTTTGTGGTATCTGGTGTTTTTGAAGAGCTAGTAATGAGCTGTAGACATTGCCCTTATTTGTGAATTATACTATAAAGTGATGTCAGTGGCCTCTGGGAAGCCAGTGCCTCAGCAGGAGGAAGGCTGACAGAAAAGATGTACATTCAGTTCACTCCTTCCCCCCTGAGACTGCACAGGCACCCTAGATAAGCACAGGATCCCCAGCCACATGGCTAGGTGAGCTTTCCAGCTTTGCCTAGATTATCTTCATCAGTGCCTCAGAAGCAGGTTTATTTCTACAAGTTGCGTAATCAGCAAACACTGCTTAAAAAATACCAAAAGACCAGGCCTAAAAATTAATACTGTGTGCTTGATCTTTGATCCTGATCTGTCCTGGGCTGATCTTAAACCACGACACTGATCTTTCTGAGTGTTAATAGTACCATTCAAAACCTGAATCCCCTTAAATTCACATAAGAGCCTCCATTTCACTTGCAGTTCCCCAAATCACCTCTCCTCACCATCACCCCAATGCTAAACCAGCCCACACCCAGCTGTCCCAGCACCTGAATTATCTAACCCCTACCTCTGTGTTATACAGAACTGCAACTCACTTGAACTTTGCTTGAATCCTGTGGCAGAGTGGACAATGACATTCAGGAATCCATAGAGACCTGGGGATTCATCATCTGTACAAAAGAGCCAAGGAATTTTGTTACATTCATGGAGGAGTCAAGAGTGAAAGAGTGATGGGATTGATGTTGCACAAGTTAAAGAGCAGAAGGTAAACTGTCCCTACAAAGGCTCGCAGGAGCATGTAATCCAGCCATTTCAGCAAGAGGAGACTCATCCAGGTTCAGTGCTGCTTCCATCTGTAATGCCTTTTGGCAATGTATGGCTTTTACAATGATATTTCTCTGGTCAGCAAGATAACATGGAAGAAATTCAAAGGAGAAGTAGTAAAATATAGAGACTAAATTATGCTAGCAGATTAAATAGTAATTTAGGATGGTCCCTGACACAATTTTGGCCAACTAGTGCTCTTCCATAGGATTGCACGGCTAGGACTCCAACAGGCACTCCAGTCCCTGGCATGATGGATGCACGTAGAGACCACTCAGTAGTCAACAAACTGGAAGATGTCCAGGAATGTTTTACTAATTTAGATGTAGCCATATAATTTGGAGCTTGTATTTTCATTGTTGCAGCAAGTAACCTTGAGATGCCAGATTGACCTTGTTCCTGCTGCTCTCTATTTGTATGCTATCTACTTCAACTAAACTACGCAAGTTGGGTACACATGCTCTCAGTTTGTAACTCATCACCAGGTTGAAGCCTTTGGCAAAAAGAAACAGTAAGAGCAGTGCTAGTGGAAATGCACAAAGGCAGACAGAGGTAGGTTTTCAGTGCAGCTGAACCATGTGAAAGAATAAACCAAAGGTCTCACCTTCCTTATTGATAGTAAGGGGAATGTTGTGGACTGTCTGAAGCTTCACACAGGAGTTTGTCAGCATCTGGAGTTCCACCGATGTGAGTGAGAAGCTTTTAAAGCCTGCCAAGGAGAGTCAAAGAGCGAGGAATTAAGATTCAAAGCAGAGGCTGGATGCATGCTTCCTCAATATGGGTGTACATGGGAAGCTGCTCCCTGGGCAATGCTCAGCATCAGGACTGTGGTGCTTAGGACTGTATTGCTGCTGCAGCCCAGCTCTATTGAGGGCATATTTAGTGTCTCTTTAGAGTAAAAAGTCTCAGAGTGGTTCACAGGAACCAGTAGTGCTTTTATTTGCTTGCAAAGCCAAAACACACCCATGGCAAAAATGCTTCTTTGGACTACAGCCAGATAAAAGTGCGCAGCTGATCCCTCTACCTGGAATTGCACAGAGCTCTACTCTCTAAGGCAATAGGGAGAATCTCTCCACACGCTTACCAAGTGCTTTCCCTACATGTTCCCTACATGTTTCTGCAAGCAAAAGTCCCTCAGACAGGCTCAGATATGCAGAGACAGAAGACATCCATGTTGTGCTGTGGATTTGAACACATCTGTCTTTCTGTAGGGAACCCTGCCCCACACTCATCATCTGGCCTGCTGCCCTCTACTAAGATCACAGTATTTGTACCAATACCCGGCTGAAGGACACTCACATTTCTTCTGCTGCTCCCGGATGTTCTCCCTCCACTCTGCCCTTTCATAGTCGGATGAAATGAGGAACGTGTAACTCTACCCAGGAAGACAGAAGAAGAGGGGGTATGCATTAGTCTGAGTGACCACTGAGACCAGACCTGCTTTCAGGCCAGACAACAGGGCATAAAGACCCTTGTACAACAGCGTATACAAACACACACAGCCCATGACCTCTGACTTGTACACTGAGGGAGACTAGAAGAGCCACTCACCTTGCCATTGCGATTGTGTACCCGGAAAGCCATGTTGGGAGACATCAGCAATAGGAGGGATTCCTGCTCCGACAGCTTCTTTTTCAACCTCTCAATAACCTTGCTGCCTTTATTAGCCCTCTGGAGGATGGGGGAGAGAGGGAGACAGGGGACACGTCATTCTCCAACATCTGCCCCTATTTATACTGACAGATATTTAAAGATGCACAATCTCTTTCCTCTGTGAGTAACCAAATGGGCTGGAGAAATGCTGTCAGGAGGATCCACAGGGCCATCAGCTGCTCAGGAAAGTGTTACTTGCAGTATCTCTGCATTCAGACTTGGCTCTGTGCCCCAGTTCCAGCTGCCCCAGATGAAGATGCAGAGGTGCATGGCCACTGTCTCAGCTATACCCTGTACTTTCTGTTCCAGAGGCTGTAACAGCAGCAAGCCAGTGGGCAGTCATAGCACTGCCAGGTCCTCCACAAGTATCCTTATTCTAGGATACTATAAGGAACTTCTCTAGAAGCTGCCCAGAACTCTCCCACTCACCACCCACTGATCCATTTTCAGAGGTCAGCTAAATCCAAGATTTTTCTTGGATAAAACCCAGACCCAAGCCCAGCCAAGTGTATGGTTTGACACTGATGCACTGAAGCGTGTATCTCAAGACTCCTGCACCTCGTGAGTAACAGGCTGCCACACAGTGCTCTTGCTAACATCTTACTTTTTTCCAGGAAGCCCTCTCTGAAAGCCAGCCAGAGAATAAAGGCAGAAGCATGTTATTTGGAAGCACAGGTGTTAGTCTTCTCATGGTACAAGCAATATTATTGATATCCTGTTCCCCACACCAGCAGGCTTTTAGTGTTCAAAATCTTACTACTCTTTCAGGTTCCAGGAAGGCTGAGTCTAACATCTCTGAGAAAACATGTCTTGAAAGCAAGGAGGAACCTGGGCCAGAAACACCATATCTGTGTCAGACTGTCCAGTCAGCATAATTGGTGTTCTCCATATATTTGCTGGTGCTTTGATACTGGTGAAGTCAGAAAAAGCTTCAGATACGTAACTGAGCCTCCAAAAATTCAGAAGTACATGGCTTCTGACCAAAATCAGTTGCAGCATCATCCTTTGACAGCCAGAAACCAGCAGGACACACTACCAGTCCACAGCATAAGAGCCCTGCTCCCCACATGGATGCTAAGCAACAGCAGCCACAGGTAGTTCAAGTAGAGGAGCCACTGACTACAAGTACAGGTTCTTTTTGTTTCTGCCTCCTCACAGGAGACCATCATTCAAGCAACGCACTAGAACAAGCAACGATGGGCTGCAGAATATCTGAATATCACTGGTAACAAAGCTGCACCACAAGCCTCTGCTGAACAGTCTGGTTTAGTGTGACCGCTAAAAATGCTGTGCAGCTCTGGGAATTCTGCTTCTCTCAGCACCTCATCTCAGCAGAGACACTGAGTCTGTACAATAAGCTTTAACCCCTTTTACCTTTTCACGCTGGATGTCATTCTTGATCTGGGATATCTTGATCTTCATGGCATCCAGCTCCTCATCGGGTACCAGTGGGATATTGGGCACTGCCTCAGATTCATCCACCATTTGGAAACTAAGGTCAGTGAGGGGGATGTACCATTTGCAGTCATATTGTTGGCTTTTTCTGAAAGACAGAAGATCCAAACCTTTTACAGTGTTTGGCAACACCCTCTCCCCTTCCCACAAGTCCTTCTCTGCTATAGTGCATAAGATACAGAACTAGGCACAACTTCACTGTGACCCCCATGTGGGAAAAGTCTGGCAAAGGGCTGCTTTCCAGCAAGAAAGCCAAAACCAGACAATAGCCAGTACAGCACGTAACAAGGCAACTTGTTTTGTTGTCTGTTTCTTTTTCTCTTAAGAGTAAGAAACTACAGTGATCTTTTGCAAACCCTTTCAGTCTTGCATGCTCTCCCTTTCAAACCCCTGCAGAGGCAATGGTCAGAAGCCATGCCATGCCTCTCACCTAGCTGCTACCTATCTTCTAAACCCAGCTCTCTCCTGCCTGAGCTAAGAGGGCCAGATGAACAAGTATGTATAAACCTCTGTGTAATCCAACCAGAAAAGAGCAATTACAGCTTTTAGCTGCCATTCTCCAGTAATTTCACCAGGATAATCCATTCACTTTTTTCATATTTAACATGATTCACTCCCTCTCCACTTCAACTGTCTTGGGATGTCCCACTCTTTTGACGGTTTATTCCTCATAAGTGTGTGCTTCAGAAAGGGTAGGGACAACTTTCTGTCTGAGGAGGGCAAAAAGACAAGGGGGGGGGGGGGTCTCTTCAAGTAGAACATTTACCAAATGAAGAGAAGCCCTGTTTGAGGCAGGTATGTTGATAAAGGTTCCTCCCCCCGCTTTTGTGAAGAATGCCAACAAGACTGCAGAGCTGCGCTCTGGGGTTGGCACATGGCCTGCTTATTGTACTCCCAATTTTTCTGACAAACTGTTAACTGGCTGTACCTGCAAGGCCAAAATTAATAACCTCAGTAACAAAAGAATGTGAGGAATTTCACCTGTTAAAGGAAAGGGGAAGTAGTAAAACAAATTGCATCTGTCCAGAATGACAGCAGTTATAGTACGTTCTATTTTCCTAGGAAGGCTCAGGGCAGTGCCAGGAGGAATGAACCTTTCCTGAGGGATCAGGACTTGGCCAAGGTCTCGTAATAGACAGTATTACCTTGCTGATCATGCCTAGCTACATCTTATGGACTATGGTTACCCATTTCTGGGGTATTCAATTTCAACTGAAATTGCCGGCTAATCCCAGGATTCTGCTGAAACTAAGGCACAAAGCACATAGTCCAGAAGGAAAACCTCACCCTCCGATCTGCTTCTTGAGCTTGGCACACAGGAACAGATCAGTAAAAAGGAAGACATGACGTAGCTTGCGAGCCCCCTCAACCAGCTCCACCATGAAACTGTCCTTCAGCAGCTGCCGGTGCTGGTGAAAAAACAAACAATGGTTTAGTTAGGGCAACGTGAGCCACAGATCTGGCACTGGGGCAACACATTCCATAGACGTGACTCCTACCAGTGGCAAATTCAATAACTTGATCTAATTCAGAAAGAAAAAGGGCCATTAAATGTTTCTTGCTGTAAGCCCTTCTCCCTGCTGCTGCCCTCCCTCCCAGGGGACGAGATGGCCATGCATCTCCTTACTATCTGCTTCGGGGTCAGGCTTCAGGCTTCTCTCCATCACCTGTTCCTGAGCCCAAGTGTGATTTACTATGAGTCACTGCCCCGCTTCTGCACACTCAAGGGCCAGAACCGCTGACAGAATATCATACCCTCACAAACCAGCAGAGAGCAGCAAACATCACTGTTCTCAGCTCAAGCCACCCCACCAGGAGAAAAAGGAGCAAACACCTCCACCCCCCATTCACAACAGTAGTCTGTCAACATTAACAGCTAAATGCCATTGCTGCTTCTTTATTGCAAGTGCTGTTAAGGGATAATTCCAAAACAAAATGTGTGTCTAGTGAACTTCAAGGAAGTCCCTTATCAGCCTGTGTTTAAAAAGGACCATCTGGATGTGTCCCCACCCTGTGCCTATATAAATCTCTTTTACACATCATGAAGATCCTCCAAACCTAGAAGATGCAACAAAGCTGCATAACTCTGATGCCTTTATTCCTGTTTCTAGTTCCAGGGAGCTGCAGGCAGAAGCATCATTTTCCTAATTCCCTTATGGGAACTCTGTACTCAAAAGACAAAAAGATTGGAGCACTAGCACTGAGACAGATGGCTGTGTGCTAGTGACCGAGCCAGGAGTTCCAAGCCCTGCTCTATGCTCAGACCTTCTGCTCCGATGGCAGGATCAATAGGACTCTGAGTACACATCTGGAATAGGTATCTCCCACTGATTTTCAAGCAGAAGTATGGGATATACAACTTTGGGCAAATTTTATTTCCACCAGTATGTATAGCTGCAGTGTTGCCTTGCTTCACAGCCAGTACAAGCAGGAACCACCAGCTCATCCACACATGCTAAGGTATGCTGAAGTACTTTCTTCTGACCTGTACTGTTTCCTTGCTATTCCAGCTAAGAGGATGCTCCCCTGAAAACCAAGGAGCAACATGTTACACATTCCATATATGTCCATACAGCACCATGGCTCGGGATGGGAGAGATGCGCCAACACCACCCGATGTTAACCAACACCTCCCCTGCTGTCTCTCACTGTTAGCCTTCTCCAGGCCCATGCTCTGGATTCGTCAGCACAACTCACTCCTGACCTGCAGTATTTCAGAGATCCCCACACTGGGAACCACATACACAAACCCCATCCATGCCCAAGAGGCAGCTGTGCAGCAGCAGCAACAGGAAAGCAGTTAACATGAGCAAGGTAAGGACATCCAAAGCAGCACTGATGCCTCTGTTTCTCAGGTTATGCCCCATGGGTTCTGTTTGCTGCGTGACTCAACAAGCCCTGCACACATTTACTGCAGTGGGTGTGGGAGTGCAAACCCCCACGCTGACTCTCCTTCCGCCTGCCATCCTTCCCATCTTGGCTCTCCCAAAGGAAAACAAACCACATCAGTCCCAAGCCCAGCAGGCATCATGGCAAGGAATACAAGGCAGAGAAATGCCCTTGCAGACATAATTCTTGTTTCCACACTCTGTTCTACAGCACTCAAAACTTCCTGACATGGACTAAGAGCCTGCGTTTTCCTGTCTGCAGCTGCACTAGTACCACAGCTAGCCGTTAACAACACACACATAGTAGTGTCAGCAGCTCACCTTGGTGCTGCCTTCCATTACACAAAGGTCCTGAAAATCTGTGAGCAGCAGCAAAAAGCTGCACCTTTCCCATAATATCAGAAAGCAAGGCTGCTCCCTAGAAGACTGTTGCACCATCTCTGGGCAGGAATCTGTGGAGATCTGGTATCCAGCAGTGATTCAGGCTCAGAAAGGCCTGTACATATGTTAATGTTTATTTTTAGGTGGGTGTGATCCTCCTAGCTGCTCCTCAGTGGTTTTGGAGAGGATGCTGTCTGCATTCACGTCCCTGCTGCTGATACGCACTTGTGCATGCCTCTGCCTCCTGCATGACAAACCAACTCCAGGTAGGAAACCAGAAAGAGAGCTTGGAAGAGAAATAAATAACAAGGAGGAGAAAGTACCTTTTCAGTAACAAAAACACTCTCCACAGCTGCAAAGAATTTCATTTTGGAACAATAATGAAGTGGAGGAATATATCTTCTGAGGAAGTCAAAACCCTCATCTCAGATTTCTAGTTCTGATGCATATTAATTAAGCTGCAAATCAGCTCAGCTCCTCTAGGGTAATAAGAATAGCTGCTTGTTGCCAGCTCAACCTCTGCTCATTGTTCATAGGTGTAAAGATGTTCTCACAGTTCACTCATCTCTGCTACCCAGCAGGATATGGCACAGTCCCTTCCCCACTTGGCAGGGACATGGCAGTGTCCTAACCTGCCCTTCTGTCCCCCTCTGCCAGGCACTGGCAGTGTGTGAGATCAGCCAAGATGTCACCCCAGCACCCTGATGAATGTTCCCAGCAGAAAAATACCCCAAGCTAGTCAGAGCACACAGTCAGCACCACATCTCTGCTCATGGCAGAGACAGGCCAACAGCATGGGCTTCTTCACAGGCAATGGAGGACCCAAGCCCATGACACCTGTTGGAGGACTGTGAAGGACTACTGCTCAGACCTAGATTAGCCCCCTGGTTTTGGCAGTATTTCAATACCATCATCCAGACCAGAGCATTTTGAAGACAAGCGTGTCCTCAAGTGAAGGCAAGGCCCATGCAGAGACACTAGTGACTGGAAACTTTCATGTCAGGCCTCCACAAAGTTAGAAAAGAGCCCATCAGTGCTCCCTGCAGCAAGTCTATAGACCTCCCAACATATTCTGCCTGCTCCAACCAGGCCACTCCCCCTTCTGCCTTCCAAAGTCACACCTAAATGGCCACTGCACCATTACAGCTTTTGGCTGTAACCATCCAAGCAGACTTCCCTCAAACAGCCATGCTCTCTGTCCCACATCTCCCCAGAGCCCAAGCAGAAATCTCAGCCATACAATGCCAAAACAGGGATGTGATTCAACACCCTTCACAGTTCCCATCTGGGAGTGAGGTACTCATTTGCACTGAATTTATTTTGGTAGCACTTCTGGGTACAAGATACCCTGACTGACATGAGACAGTGCTAGCATGAGGCAGTAAACTTTGGCAGTCTGATCTCCCAGAAAGAGAGCTGAGTGGGAAGATGACAAGGCTGGATTTCCTAAACTTGACTGGAACTGAAATAAGCTATGACTATGACCACGAGCTAGCTGAGAACGTCTGCCCTCAGCAAGCAGCAGGAGTAAACTGCCACAAAAGCGATCAAGTATCTGTGGAGGAGGGGACAGGAGAACACATCTGTGGATGTGTTTGCGGATGCTTGATGTTAGATCTAACTACTACCTTCTCTTGGAAAACAGGACTTTGGTTAGGGCTGGGCACAACAGGCATGCCCCAGGCTGCTCAGCATCAGTGGAGCAGTGGAGGAGTGCTCCCAGAAAAGGGTCACATCCTCTTCTGCACATGATTCATCTTGCTGCAAGGGCTCAGCACATCAGAGGGAAACAATAAAAGGATCTGCCAACTGGCTTACCAGATCCCTGCCAAACCCCACAGTGAGGAAGCACACCTTCCCGGACCTCCCGACATGACTCAGCCATTGTACCCCACCGGGGAGCCAACAGCCCCCTCAAACAGGACTCATGCCAGGCAGATGCTCATCCCACCTCAGCTCTACAGGCGTTCTCTATGGTTTGGGAACCAAAGCCCACTTTGGTCAGCTACTCACACCCAGGGCCAGCAATAGCTATTCTTTTGGTGGCCTCCTGTTAAACCAGGTCTCCTGAAACATGAGGTCTTCCAACTGGCTGATCCTGCCACACGGGACATACAACAACCTATCTGTGGAAAACCATCTCTCTGCCTTGGTTTTAAAGTTACTCTGAAATGACATAGAAACTACAGAAACACCAAATAAACATCCCATTAGCTTAGCATCAGAGTGCTAGTACTGTGGCAGAGTGACCCCCTCTCCTCCACAGACAGCCCCGAGACTGTCAGAGGTCCAGCACCAGAGCTCAGCTAGGCTACAGAGATGTTCCAGGAGGCTTGGCGAAAGCTTCCTATTTTGTACCCTATTGTATTTGTATCCTATTTGTTTAATGGAATTAATTAGGATCATCTTTAATCTCTCAAACAGTGCTCTGGACAAAGCAGCTCTCCCTGTACATCTTTCAGTGTGTGGATAGCCTTTTTGGACTACCTCCTCCTTTTGGCTTTCCTCCTCTTTTTACATCTGTCAGTGAGCATCTCCCCCTCCACTGCTACCAACCTCACGACTTACCTGTATGCTCATCATCTATTCATCCTACATGTTTTTGTGCTGCTTGCATATGCTAACTCCTGCTGCTGTCACATGTTTAACTCCAGGAAGTGTGACCAGCTTGTCTGAGACACATTACAAAGAGCGGAACTTAAAAAACCACTCATCCAGCACTACAACTGTACAAAAGGCCATCTCCTCCCTTGTATGCTGAGGAAAGAGCTCATCCGATGTGGTGACAGCAGAGGCCTGCAGCGTGCGTGGGCGAGAGCCTGGGAAGGAGTGGAACATGTGTGATGCAGGAGGAGGAGGGTAAAAGCGGGAGATGGGTATTGGCATATGTCAGTGAGGAAGAGGTGGTTTGGCTTTCTGCAGAGCGTAGGAAGAAAATGATTCCTCGTGTGCGTGCGCGTGTGTTGCAGGACCAGCGTTGCAGGATAAAGGGATGCTCTGCCTAAGGACAGCACTGGCTGCTCTTTGAGCATTTTTATAGCCTTTCTTTTTTAATTGCCAAAGCTCCTTTCACTGGGAGCTCTCTGACTCCAGTTGTAAGACGGGGTATGAAGTATTCAAGATTATTTTTGAGTGCTTTATTGCCAACGCCTGCCCAAGGCCTCCAGAAGCAGTAGGCACCAGGCCTCAAGCTGTGCCTGGCTGTCTGTGTCTAAGCTTAGCTCCCAGCTTTTCAAAGGCTTTAGTTTGCAGTTTTGCTCCTTTGCAAATGTCCTTTGTCCTTTCACTTCCCTAGGCACACTTGGTCTCTATTAAGTTAAACAGGAGCCTAAAGCAGTGATACCCGGTCTCCTGACTGCAGCTTAAAACCACACTGAGAAATACAGTAAAGCAGCTTGCAAAGCAGCCTCTTCTCTACAGGGCAAGGGAAAAAGTACACAGTTGCATAAGCTGATCCAACTTGTGATCTAGGGGGCTTGCCTGTCAGCCCTTTTGTGTCTAAACTGATGGGACGCTAAGCCACTCAGCCAGCAGAGCGACCCAAAACTCAAAAAGGCTTCTTCTTAGGCAGCTCCAATCGTCCATGGCACTGTGGAGCACTATCACCCACATGAACTCTGCAATTTTTTTGCAGTTTCATTAATTCCTGCTTTACAAGAATGGGCTGAATTAGCTGGGAACACAAGCCTTTACTTCTGGCAGGGAAAGACAACACATGCTTGACAGTCACCTGCATCCAGGCTTAGTTGAAAAAACCCCATGCAGACCATAGAGCTGCTCTGTTAATGCAGAAAGGTTATTACTGCTCCTTTCCTTCTGGTACATAATAGTGGCACATCCTGCACATCAAAGCATTAGTTTTCCTGCTGCCCCAAGGGACCATCCCTGGGAGAACTTTAAACAGATTCCCCATTTAAGTCAGGAGGACAGTGGTGAAAAAAAATCAGCAGTGAGAAAATAAAATGCCTGCTCCATGGTCCTAAGGGGTGGAAGATTCTCCACCACTGGCATTCAGAGTCAGAATGCACATTGCTACTCAGACCTCTTTTCCCTCCACCCATTCGTTTGCTTATTTAGAGGGCTGGCAAAGTAGTACCTGCGGATAATCCATCAAAAAGAAAGCAAAACCTCTAAAGTAGGAAGATGGGAAGAAAAGGAGGGAGCAAGAGAATGCAGCAGATCAGGCTGAATGGGAAACAGACCCAAAAGTCCTCCTGGCTCCCCTGTATTGCCAGGCTGGGTCTGGTGCTCTCCTGGCTTCCCTCAGCAAACCACGAAGCAGAGAAGACAAGCTACAGTCAGCCTGGCAGGCAGCAAGGACCAAACTATGTGTTTGTAGGCTTAACCCACCAATATTGCCTTCCCTGTTATGGCCCTTTCTGTCCCTCTGGTTTTATTCCTTTTGTTCCCATCTCCTGGCACACCCTGAAATACTCATTTAGCCCAGCAAATTAAACCAGAAAACTTTATATGCCTACGTCTAGAATTAGATAAAAGCCTCCTGAGCCAAGCAGAGCCAAGGGGGTGTTGTGCTGGAAGGACACCTGACATCATGCAGGAAGACAGCAGGCAGGTCAGACTCAGTTGACGCTCCCAGAGCAGGGAATTACTCCTGCAAAAGGGAGGAATTCTGTGCTGATGAGCCTGTACTCTCTCCTGACCTGCACTCCTCTCCTCAGCAGCCTGTCACTAGGGAAATTAACAACTGGCTGCTTTCCCCAGTTCAAAGCAATCCTGAAAAAAAGAGCTGGAGCAAGAGGCTGGCAAAGGAGATTCGACTCCTCCCCACGATGCACTCAAAGGAGAAGAATATTCTACACAAAAGGCGAGGACTGGGGAAAAAAGATAACTGAGATCAGCACCTAAGCAATACATGAGGGGAAAAAGCTGTTTTCCCTCCTTCCTTTCCACCAAGGAAATTTCAATGGGAGGAAGACAAATAATGAAAAAAGCCATCAAAGCAAGCTGGTGATTCATTAAAATAAAAATGCATTATGCATTGAGAGCAGTCAATTAGGAGATGCAAACTGCACGCTGTCCTGTCACCCTCGGGGAAGCACCAGCAAGATGAGTAGGAGGAAAGGATAAGCAGAAAAGGAAAGATTTACAGCCATAAACAAAACCCAGCTATGACCCCAAGCTGAGTAGCTTGTAGGAAGACGCAGCCTTCACTAATGCACACAGAGTAGCTGGGAGCAGACTCGTGTCTCTGGGTTGCCATGCAGAGAGTGAATGTATCCAGTATTACTGCTTCGAAAAAAGTGGGATATTAATGCTAAATGACTGCAGAAAGTATCCACCATCAGATTCCCAGAGTGAAAGGCAAACTATGGGAAGCATCAAAAGCAAGTCCTTTTCTTCCCTGGGCTCAATACAAGATGTGTGCAGTAAGGGAGAGCACAAGGTTTTCCAGTCTCCTCCAGCACACCCACAGCCCTCTCCTTGGATACTGCCCCTTCTTTCCCTCCCCAAATCATACATGGAGTCACAGCAGGACCAGTGAGAGTGTGAACAGGCCTGCTGAGCCCAATCCTGACAAGCCTCCCCTTCTGGTTAAGATCTGACAAACACATCACTCCAAAAAGACATCCTCAGGATCATTCCCCTGAGCCTGCCCCTCTGCCTGGGCTCTGGCAACTCATTAGGATTCTGCATGACATATGTCCAAGCCTGCATCCTTCACTGAGATGCTGACAGACAACTGGAGAACATCTGCAAGGGGGCATTTTAGTCTGCTGTATCTTCTATGACCCAATCAACATGCACTTAAATGAGTCCATCTACTATCACTGAGGCCCTGGTGACTAATGTCTGAGCTTCTACCTCAGCTTCCAACCGCTCAGCCTCTCCTTTTCTCAGCTGCAGACTTCCTCAGTTGACAAAATGAGACAACAAACAAGACTTGCAGGACAAAGGGCACTGAATTCCCAGTACTGCAGCTTCTAGGTGGTGTTTCCTCACCCTTTCCTCCTTCCAGGCTTCCCGTTTGGTTTCAGTTTGCAGGTAAAATACAAGTCCGTTTAATGCACAGCAATACCCATCACAGAAATTATGTAAGACAAATGATTATAACAATGCTAAGGACAAAACTCTCATCACACTTCTCCTCTGGGTCTCCAAACTGTTTTCTGAACAGAAAACAAAGGGGAGCTGTACCACATTCTTCAGGGAACAGGGACACTGCATAAACTGTAACTTGGCAACAAACAAATTAATAGGGTAACTTCCTAGTCTGCTCTACAGAAAAGGACCAACTCTTCAAAACTGAGAAAATAATGAAGGCAGTAAGACTCACCTCCCCCTTCTTTACAGTCATTGACTGCCGGCGAGGAGTGATCTCCTCATTGATGCTGGAGAGGAAGTTCTGTGAAATCCGCAGAGCATCCTGCAGGAGTGGATGATCAGGGTGGCTCACTGGAGTGTGCTTGAGCAAATCCTGACACCGGGAACACAAATAAAGAACAGAGCTATGAGCAGCACTGGAAAGCAGAAGGTTCTGAAGGCCCCTAACTAGAAGTGTTGGACAAGATGCTCCAGCTTCTTCTTACGGATTAAAGCAAGGCTTCACTTCTAAAGGAAGAGAATAACACTCTGCACTTTTTGGTAACACCACTGCAGAAGTAGCAGGGTCATACCAATGAACTCCCTCCCCTTAATGAAAATGTAAAAGGCTCTTATGCATCATGACAGGTTTATTTTTGCAATCCTTTATCTCCACGGCAAATTTAAAGGGCAAAGAAAATAAGAAAGTGGTCTAAAGTTTGAAAACCATCTTTCAGATACTTACATGCAGAACAAGTGTGCTGCGAGTCACTCTATCGACTGGCTTGTATAATAGAGCTGTGAACAAAAAAGCAGAAACATAAGAAAGAGGTACTTAAATACAAACCCTACAGAGGAACTTGTCCATTGCCACTGATTGTAAAGGCACAGGTTTATTAACCAGTGAGCTACTGGAAAATTCCCTTCTCTAAGGTTAATGTGCTGCACAGCCAATAACACGCACATGAACACACAGACAAAATAAACATGCTTCACAGCAAACACATGGCCACTTGTGAGCATGCCCTGCTAGGCAGTGGCTGAGGAACACAAAAGGTAGTACAGAACAACTGCACACAGCATGGGACACTTTGGATAACTCCCTGGCAATCTGCCTGGTTGCACAGATCAGAACTGGTTCTTGCACTCAAAGTTGCCAAAGAGGTCCCTGAAAGACTGGAAGTGCATTCCTCCTTCTGGAGTTCTGCGTGACATGTTGAGTGCTTCCAAATCCTGACAGTGGGCCAAAACAGGAAGGGGACTGGCTTTTATATTAGTGAGTATGGAAGCTTGTTATAACATGGGTCATCTTATACTTATGTGCACAGAGCCAAGCACCACGAAACATGATCTTGACCAAGCTCTCTGGATGCTACCACAGGGCAAAGCCCATATAACAATAAGTGGTAGGATTGTGTTTGTGCTATCACTGGGTAGCAGGTGTTCTCTTAAAATCACAGCAGTCCTTCGCTTGGCCTGGTTTTGCCCAAAGGGACTGATGAGGTTTTAAACCGGACAGGGGCTTTCCCATGCATGCATGCAGCTTACTGTGCACAAGCTCTGCTACTTAGCAAAAGGGAACTGATGTCCCAGGCAGAGACTCCATAACTTTCCAGCATTTAAAAAGAAAAAGGGAGAGTGGAGGTTTGGCAACAGCCTCCAACAGTCCTGACAAACCAGTTTCCTCTGCATGGATCACTCACTTTCCAAGGAATTTTTCGTCGTCTGATCCTTAGATTCCTTTGTGCTTCTAGCCTTTAGATTCTAAAAGAAAAAGAAAACCCACATAGTAGATGGTCAATCGCCTTGAAATATCACACAGGAATGTAACACATTATCTGCTCCTCTAAGGAAGGGCCTAAGAGTGAATAGAGGACAATGCAAGTCAGCAAAGGAAAAATGTGCTTTTCTTCTTGGTAAAGCCACCACTGCCATGTCACAGGCACCCACATATCTCAAATATTAAACAATTATCTTAGGAGTGCATGCCAACAGAGATGCAGCTAAGCAGGGAACTACCACTAGTGACAAGGATGGTGGAGCTTTTATATCACCTGCAGGAGAAAGACATATCCATAAGGATGCAGCCATTGTCACAGCATGTGTACACCACCATATAAAGTACTGGATTAGGATTCAGTACTCCCAGGTTATACTTTCTTATACCTGTACTCAGAGCTGGGTGACCTTGGACAAGTCAGCAATTTCATGGCAGAAAAGAACAATGCCTGTGACTCTTCACTTTGCACACGGACTATGAAGCTACATCCACTAATGTGCTGAGCTCTGAAACCCTCACCAAGACACAAATGCAGAAGTATTAACACCATCATTCCAAATACAGTAGATACTAGCACAATTTCAGAGTTATCCTCCAGAAAACAGCAAAACCAAGGCATTTGCAAGGAGCCCAGGACCCTAGGGCCTTAATCTCTATTTTGTCTTCTAGGAACTACCATAATACTATTTATACATATTACTAAATGGTTATGTCCTTTAAATGCATTTTAGTACTGATAGAAAAGTAAGCACAGGGGAAGCTACTTTACTAATGAGTCAGTCAGGCAAAGGACCAGAACCTGATGGAAATCCTCAGGAAAGGAAAGAATAGAAGACTTTTGCAGTCTGATGAGTAGTACAGCAGGTCCCAAAAACCAAGCCTCATTTCACAGAGGGAACGCATTTTACCTCTTTATTATAAAAATCCAAAGGGACATGCAACATTGAATGTACTCAGGAGTTTTTTCAGAGCAATAAACACCCCGGTATTATTGAGCTCGGATTATTTATCTGCTTGTTTGTAAGGACACACATATAAGTTCAAGTTTTTCTTGGCACCTGAGTTCTTCATGATACAATCACCTCAATACAAGGATCAATGAGACCATGCCTTGCAGGCAAAGCTGGTGGCCTGGGGAGCCTGAAAAAGCATTCAAAATGCTTTGACATGAGGTACTCCTCTTAAAGGGAGGAAATTGAAGCAGCCCAATGAATAATACTATAGATTACAAATGACATGCCTGCCTTTTTATACACAGTTTCCTTCCCCTCTCCGTGCCAGTGAAGCCTACAATTCCACTGACAGCCATAATACAAGGCAGTAAGGATGGCTTTTTACACCAGTCAGCATCATTATTAGCAAGAGAAACACCTTAGCAACTCAAATACAGCTGCCCTTCTAAGAAGTGCATGACAGTGGCACAGAGCTGACAAGTTCAAAGCAATGCTGGTTTTTACTAAATCCCCTGGGTGGGGACAGTACATAAAAGCTGTTTGTGTGACAACCTCTGTAGGCCCAACGTATAAATGGCTGTAAGAACATGAGTTGAAGCACTGAGTCTAAGAGGAGCTCACAACTCCTCCTCCAGAAGTCAGGGCTGCAAAGATTCTTGGAGGACAGACAGGAGTGACATCGCAGGGTATTAGTCAGATCCAGACAGCTCGTGTGTCTGAACACCGTGACATTACCTCAGAGATTTCAGCAAACTGAGCATTGGCTTGGCAGCATTTCTCTGCTGTCTCCATAGCAACTTCATAGTTATCCACAAAGGCCCGGTACACTCCCAGCTGGCTGGCCTGCAGGAAGCAAAACAAAATCAAATGAATGCTGTGGAAGAAGAGAGTTTGGGACGGCCAGCCTCAGTAATCCAGTGATCAGGTCATGTCCCATCATGCCACAGAATTACACAGAATGCTAAGCAAGCCCAGAAAGACATCTCTGACCCGTAAGCTTTGCACAGGTGATCCCATGCACCTGGTTCAATCTATACTGAAGGAGTTCATTTGTGAAGGATGTGGAAGCCTGTGAGAATGAGACATCCTTATTACTGCCTTCAATTTTTCCTTTCTGAACTGCCAGATTAGTATTTATTAATATCTTAGCTCCTTGATGTAATTGGAACTGCTTGCTATTTGCCATAAAATATGAATCAGACAGGAATGATTCAGCCCAACAGCACAAATGTGACCCCAGTAAGCTACTTGTTGGCTTTTGATGATGGAGACATTAAATCAAATCAAGATATTAACCCATATCTGCACTAGTGGACACCTTTATAAAGGCAATGAAGTGCTGAAAATATAGAAGGGAGATCCAGAGTACAAACTGGAAGGCAGTGACAGCAGCACTATGTGACAGAATATGGCAGTTTTTCCAGCAGAAGGGCAATTGGTCCAGAGGAAGATGGAGCAGGCGTCAGAGTGCAGTAATAAGCCACTATTATCACTGAGTCTTAGTACTAATTCCACTTGCTGACTTAGGAATCGCACCCATATTCATGCCAGAGAACATAAGATCCAGCTCGGGAAATCCCTGGGTAGCTTCCAAGCTTGTCTGGACTGCAGAGATAGTTTTGTGTTGCAGAGCTCCACAGGCTGTGCTTGTAAACACCTCAGCAGCTTGACCATGCTTGCAAGTGCATGGTCAGCAGCGAGCCAACAGGTGGAGTGCCTTGAAAGGCTCCATTACAGAGAAGTTTGTTACCAGAACTTGCACTTACCTTATTATTTCTGGAACTTCCCTTACACTTCTGCCCAAGAAATGCAACAGGCAGAGCAGTTAACTCTCCACAGATTCCTCTCCTGCTCCCTTACAATGACTGCGTTTCCCATTCCCTACGGAGTTTTGTGCAAGAGACATTGGAAGAGAAAAAGCCACTCTGAGAAGAACGCTCCCTTCACAAGGGAGGCTGAGAAACAGTGACCTGTTTCCTGGGACACATTTTACTGGAAGATTAGGAACCAGTCTCAACCCTCATACAAAATAACACAGCTATGGCTGAAGGAAACCAGGCTCACTTATAACAGGGATGACCTCCGCCCCAGCACTGTGGAGCCAATGGGGCACAATTCAGTGAAGAAGCTGCTGTCAGAATTACTGATCATTTGCAGGGCTTATGACATTCAGGTTTGGATGCTGCCAGCCAACACAGCAGATCTGTAAAGCTTCTCCATTCCTATGTGGCTCTTCCATTTCTTGCTACTCCTGAACAACCATTCTGAGTTTTTGGTTTCCTCCTCTAAACATGCCATCACCTTTTTCATTATAAGCTGAGCTTCCAATCAAAGCAATAATGCTCACGCACGGTGTTCATGCTGGTTTAAATTTTCTCTTTTTCCATTAAAAAGAGCACACTGAAAAGGAAACCAGCTTTGTAGAAATAACCACCCTTTGATTGAAAGTTTTTCAGTTCTTGAAAACTACCAGTGATAATATTAGTTAAATATTTCTTCATTTCTAAAAACAGTTCTAAAGTGTTTCCTTTCTAGTTTAAGAATGTGTACAAAATACTCCCCAAAAATGAGAAGTGTTTTTCACACCCACATGCCTAGCATCTTTCTTTTCTTTAGTTTCAACAGGAAAAAGGTGGAATAACAGTCACTGATCTTGCAAATGGATTGCACTTTGCTCCAGACCACATGAAATTCTAAAACTCTATGCATGCACTGTCTGTAACTTCAATTTATAGTGCTTTGTTTTGCATGATATTAAAGGAAATGAATGGCCCCAGGGACTTCAGGATAATTACAAGGATTCCAGGATTTATCATGAGATTGCATGACATGACTACAAGTAAACAATCTGCTCCAAAAGATTTGATGTACATCCAGTATAGATGTCTTGTAATGCCTGATGATCTTGCTATCTCATCTAGCTGCTACCCATTGCCTGCCAAGAATTATTAGCTTCATTTCATCCAGCAAATAGTTCACAATTCCCACTGATACTCTACTAAAGCACCAGAAACTGAAACCGCTAACCTAGCTCAAATCTTCCTGCACTAGGGCAACTTGGTCCTTTGCTTCCAATACTAATCCAACAAAATCAGTGATTCTGTCACAAATGCAGAAAAATCAGGGAAACATAACAGAGTGCCAGAAAGGCTTAACTCCTGCACCTGCGACGATCATCAGCAAGAAAGGGCCTTCAACAAAGGTTTAAGTAGCTGTATGGCAATTCAAAGCTTGCTCAACAGCCAGCAGTGGGAAAGAATATACTGAGGTCTTCTTCAGTTAGTTCCATCTCCATTCCTGCACTACACTTCCAATGCAGTTTGCGAGGCTTCCACTTTCAGCAGCCTTATCTTTACTCCCTCCAACGAGCAGCAGGTGGTTTGGTCTTCTTAAACCAGTTGCTCAAATTGCATACCATGAACTACTCACCAAGATACCAACTTGACCCCTTCTGGCTAAAACATGCTGGCAGTGAAAAGCAGATTCCAATATTCTGATCTTGAGCTTCTGGCATGCATGGAAAACCTCATCTTCCAGGCCCATCTCCTCCTGCTCCATAGGAGATGGGGCTGGTGCTGGGCTCCACAGCTGCTAACAATTGAGTGACCCTGGTAAAGCACCCTTCCTATCCAATAAACCCCTCACTGGAATGTCACTCCTACCCTGAGAATCAGAGGCACCTCAAGAATGCAGAGGTTCTTTTCTAAAAAGGAAAAAAACAGCTTCTTTAATCCTTTACTCTCTGCACATGCTTGGGGAGAGGCTAAAGGGGCCAAAGGAATCTCCTAGAATGCAAACAATTTGTCATCTGGCTCAGAAACTCAGTATTTTTTATTCAGTCTCAGGAGTATGCTGTATATGCCTTTGTACTGTTCTGCACTAAGAGAATTTTGTTGAGGTTGCCTGGAGGATTCTCAGCAGCAGGCTGACTGGATCAGCACAGCAGCAAGGGGAAAAGAGGCCAGGAAAGCAAACCAAAGGTGACGACCAGAAACTAGAGAAAATCAGCAGAAGATAGAGCAATGCATCACAGAAAGGAAGTACATGTGAAGGACTTCAGCAAGAATGAGAAACACTTAGCTGTTGGTGTTAAAAAGTGTGCTTTTAAACACTACCATTCTGCCATCTTCCTCTAAAGCAAATGGTTTGAAAACACTGCAGATACCCTGGAGATTCAACATTTCTCTGATATTGTATTTGTATTAGTAGCAAAGCTTGCTGGAGTCTTTAATTACAGACAATGAAACAGCTGCTTCTGCTGCAGGCCCTTCAGTGAAGTATGGGCTTTCATCCTTTCAGTCTATGCACAAAGTGAACCACACCAGCACCTGTGAGATGAATGAGGTACCAGGACCTTTGGTGATGGCAGCTGACTCACCAGCTTCTGGAAGAGGTCCCCTACACGCTGCTGGTGACTCCACTGCTGCACTCGGGGAAAGAGCCCATCGTAGAATTCTTTGTGGATCTCATAGAGCTCAGGCACTTTAAAGAATATTGTCTCAATCTGCTGACTAGTCAGCACAGGCTGAGAGGTGGTGGCAGCTGCTTTCAAAGGCTTCATAGGCTGAAATGAGGAAAGAAGGAAATCATTATCATGCAAACCAAATACATTCACCCTTGCCACAGTACAACACATCCCTCCAGAGAGCTGATTTTCATCCTATTAATAAGCGATATTTGCATTCACACAACTCCTGAAAGTGCGACATTAACAAGTTCTCTCGTGGGGATCAGTCACACCTGATTTTCCCCAGGATATTAATGGTGCCATTAAAATCCCTTTGCAATCAATTTCCTTCATCTCTGTCCAACTGTACAACAATATGTCTAATAATTAGCACAGGATACTTAAAAGATAGGGCTCCTGGATACTACTACACTAATAACTGCCTGGTTGTTTCGTATCCAGTCCTTTCTTTAAGCCTCTCTCTCACTATCAGAGGAGTAACAGGTTCCCTTTGCAACCCATGATATGTGAAGTTCTGGGAAGCTCTAGACGGAAGCAGCAATGAAAATTCAAGTACCAGTGTTTGAAATGGTATCTGCCACCAGCACTTACCAGCAGCAGAGCCTCCAGGTGGCTCAGGTAGGTTTCCTCACTGGCTAGGATTCCTGATAGGACCCATTTTCTCATCTCCAGGCCTTTCTCCAGGTCTGGCTCACTCTACAAAGATGTTAAAGAGGAAAAAAAAAAAAGAAAAAAAAAGGTGGAGAAGAGGTAAAAAAAGCCAAGAATGAGGATGCGGTTAAAGGTATCATTCAGCTGACCACAGCATACTGGGCATGGCTTTTTACTTCCAGACTAAAAAAAACCAACCAAGCAAAAGACCTACCTGAGCTCAGTGTCCTGTTTCTAGAAACAGGGAAACATAAACCAAAGACTTTTGTATTTCCTAGCAACTGATGTCACTCAGATGATTTACAGGTGTTGGCTTTAGTCCTATAACGTCCGTGCCTCAATTAGGTGCCCAGACCTCTTCACTAAATTCAAACCACAGAACTCCAAAATTCAGCATTTATCCTCCTAAACAAATCACAAGGACCCTTGGATTATGTGCATTTCACTCTTTCCTCCCACAAGAGTTCTCCATGATCTTAATCCCAAACCATGTTTATCTCTGCAGACAGGATCATTTCCTGCACCTCCACAGATGCGCATGAATATAGAGCAGCTCCAGCCTGACACTGCTGTTAAGATTGCTGTGCTTTCTCCCACTCTCTACTGTTCACCAAATTATTTTTTAGTGCCAGCTTGCACAATGTCTATTTTTAGTCAGAGGATGGAATAATCAGCACTGCTTGGAAGGCACATGCTGATTTTCTTATTGGGATTCCATAAAGGAGTTCTTAACCAAAACTGTTACCTGGAAAATGTTTAACCTGGTAAAATGAAATGGAGTGTTTCAATAAGCTCTGAAAAAAAAAAAAAACCTAAAACCCCCATGGCTGAACAATGGAGGTTATAAATCATGAGAAACACCTCCCTTTTAGAAAGTCTTATTTTCAGTCCCTTTTATTTCTGTCATTCACAGAAATAGCTTTTTCCAGTTCTTGCAACCTTTTTATATTGTTAAATGTCTCTAAGAATAGAGTCAGTAGATGGATCTGAAAGGGTGGATACTTCTCAAGGGCTTTGGGTAGGTTGTTCAGGGCTCCATTCTTCCTACCCCTCTTAATACCCAGAGGAATCTTCACCTATTGATTTCAGCAGCAGGAGGATCAGGAAACATAGCAGTATGCACCACTCTATTGACAGAACATAAAGCCCTACAGCTGACAAAAAAACCTCCATTTACTTTAGGTTTACTTTAGGTCCTATGCTTTGAACCCTGCAGATGTACATATATGATGTTCATTATGGAGAGAAAATATCCTGGACATAGGTAAGCTTACAGTAAGTAGCACATTCCAAGTGTGACTTTGAGCCTACACACCACATGAAGCCAGAAACAGTCTCAGATATTTCTGGACTCAGTCTCATCAATAACCACCCTCATTTTTGAACACTTTCATTACATTTCACAAGCTATTTTCTAGGCTAAAAGATTTTATAAAACATTTGCGAGGTGTCAAATCCCACCATAACCTCTTAAATAAAAGTGGCAGACAGAAGCTGTTCTAAGGAAATGAGTAAAATTTACATGCGCATCAGGTACTACATGGAAAGAAGAACTTGTCTTTCCTTTCTACCCCTTCAGTGACATTCAGGAAGAACCACAGTGCCTTTCAAAATCTTGAAAGGGCGTCTCAAAGACGCCAGGAATTTGTAATTCAACAGTCGTGTTGAGAAGATTTCAGGAAAACACCAGTGACAAACTACATGGTAAAATGAATGCTGAAACAGATTCTGTGCATCCACAGAGCACCCGGGTGACTGCCGGTTACAGCTCAAAGAGAAATGTGCAACAATGTTGTGACCATTCCTTATGATTTGTGTACCAGCAGTGCCTGGACGGCTGCCTCATGGACCATTTTGCAAGGCAGGCTACATACACATAATCCAGACAGACAGCCCCATGATGCTTAACAAAGGTTGCCTTCATCCAAAGAGGCAGGGATGTAGCAGCTTTGCTGCAAGGAAAACACAATACCTCTGTGGTTTCCAAAGGTTTCTTATAACATTTACAAAAGAAAAACACTGCCTCACAAAGAAGCATTGAGAAAAACTAACAGGGATCCAAAGTCCTCACTGCTGAAGATGAGGTAACTGGTCAATATTGACAAAGCACTGTAATGCTCTTTAGCAGGTTCTCTTGGAGGAGGTGAGGAATTAAAAGCCAGCTGAATATGTTTGGAACATCTGTAAAGAGCAGCACACAATCACAGGTTATTTAAATAATCCAAACTTCCTCATTACAACAGTGGCACAACTGTTTTCCTTATGGCATTGAGAGCAGTTTTCCTCTTCACAAATGAAAGCTTTAATTTACAAGCCAGTTCTTGCTGGGCACCGTCAGCTGACAGGGACAGCATTTTCTGCCTGAATGTTAATTTCCTCTCTTTAAAAGAGATGTTCTTTCAGAGAGACAAACATCTCCCAGGACACACTAGAGGCCTTCCTTCCTGGCCATTATCACAAAGTTACTTTGCAAAGTCCACGGTATTGTCAAAACCCTTTTTAATAGGAGTATTTTCCAAGCTTGGTCCTTGCAAAACCAGCCTCAGATGCAGCCAGACAGGGCAGGGCCTGGCTGCTTTAAGCTACAGTACAGCAGTTGCTGGAGAAACCCTCAGGGGAGTTTATCCAACAATCACATAGCACATGACAAGGTTTCCAATGCAATACCTCAAATTTACATACAGATTCCTCATATATGAAAAAAAACGATCTCCTGCTGCTCCTGCTGTGCCAGGGATCAATAGGACACCATGGTGCTGCTGTGTCTGCATTGTGCTGCCACTCTGTATTTCCTCCTGAGGGCCCATGCCCTGACAAGAGCTTCCTGCCGAGGGAGGCCTTTTCTGAGAACATCATCTGGGGTTGCACTGAGCAGCAGCTCTTGCTGCTACATGAACATCTGGAGAACAGCCCCTGTGCTTCTTCAGCCTCAGGGTGCTTTTTAAGTCACACGTGTTATGAAATGTACTCCAGGCCTGAGAAATTCACTGGGAGCTGGTGCCTACATCAGGAAGAAGAGGAGTAAATTTATGAGTTGGTATTACAACATTCCTCACTTACAGAACTGGGAACAGGCTCACCTGCTCACCTAAAACAAGGCACAGCAATTAGCAGGCAGAGATAAAAAGAGACTGACTTTCCGAGACAGCACGCCAAGATGTGGTGCACCCAGTGCCAAGGGCATCTTCTGCTTTGCCCATATCTGACAAAAAGGGAACCAAAGAGCAAGACTGTGACAACACCCTCACTGGCTTCTCTGCTTCTGCACTCCAGGCAGAAGGGCAGGTCAGAGAGGCAACATTCTGGGCATAAGCATCAAGCTCCCATCAGTTCAGGGAGACCTGTCAAGGCCAAGAACTCCTTTCCCCTACCCTGGCAAGAAGGAAGCAGTCAAAATCTTTGAGCTGCTTGTAGCAAGGGGAGGAGCTGGGATTGGCTAGAGAAAAATACACCTATTAACCAAAGCACAGATGGGATGGTCCCAGCAGGATGTGGGAGATGCCTGCATTGGCAAACTCTAACCACTCAGCAGGGAGTGCCTGGTGGTCAGCAGTCCACCCCATGCTTCCCACCCAGCCTGGTTAGCCTGTTTTTCACTTGTACAAGTCCGACCAGTATTTCATGTTCTCACTCTGTCCCTGCCTCTTTGATGCCAGCATTCATTTCTAGCCTTTCACTATTGCCCTTCCATCTTTTGGTTACCTCGATACATGTTTCAGACCAAAACTGTCTTACAAGGCTATCACAGGGCAGCAGCCAGAGCATTCCTGTCTGCCTGCCATAGGAGCTGTGAGGACCCAACTCCCAGCCAGGTCTGAACAACCAGTGCTTTGCTCCTGCTCCTCATGAACTACATTAAAAAATAAAAGAAACAAAAGGGAAGGTGAAAAGCAATATAAAGTTTCATGGGTATCTCATGCCAATAAGGTTCTGGTGTTTTCTTCACAGCTGGGTGGTGCTTCTTACTATTCCAAAGACTCAAAACTCAAAAGATTGAGTCACAGCCGTAAGTGCAATCTTGCGACCTGAAGCAAGGCCAGTCAGAGCGGTGAGAAGCACTGAAGATATGAGAGCACATGGAAACACTGGCCCTGAGCCATGGCTGTTCTCAATGTGTTTACAGCTTGTCAGCCTAAGTACTTTAGTTTACTAACCAGGTTGGCATTGCATGTTGTATTCAATTACAGCGAGCTTGAGATTCACTAGCTCCAAGGATTAGACAGATTCAGCCCCTCCTGACGCTGTTTAGAGAACTCTGGCTTTCTGGTTGCTGTTTAAATTAACAGCGGTGTTTTCTTGCAAATGTTGGATGAACGCAGATTAAGGATCTAGAAACCACAATACATCAGATTTTGCAGGGTGCTTGCTGCCAGCACAGCTCTGTAAAGAGAATCAGTGATTCAAAGTGGGCGTATAAAAGGCACTTTAACTCTCAGACCTTCTTTTGGTACAGTGTGTTCATATGCTGTGCAGTGAATACATTCAAAGGAGAAGTTTCCCATAAGGACGGCTCAGAATCTCATAGAGAAGCTGACTGACTACAAAAGAGAAAACACATTCATTTCCATTTTTTAAGTGTAAATATCTTTGAAAGCATCTGCTAAACAAGCTGGAGGTGTCTCATTGTCTCGGTGATATTAAACAGGGTGAATTCTGTAATCAAGACAATCATGCTCCATGCACAGAGGGGAAGGAGCAGGGAAAGAAGCCAACATTATTTATAACCTCAGTCCTGGTGTGCCAGTTCTCCTCAGGAAGGGCTGTGCATCCAGGCAGAGCCCTTAAGGAGCAAAGAATTGGAGAATAAAAAGGAAAAGTTGCATCTGCTGGGGGTGGTGAGGGAAAAGTGACAGTAGAACAAACCAAACAAAACCGAATACTGAGAGGAAGAAAGAAGAAGGATTTGGAAATGCTGGAGAGGGAAGGACCAGCTAGCAACAGAGCTACCAAGTAGACCAGTAATCCCATTTAGCGATGTAGCTTCAGAGGTCAGATTTTCTGGCCCCCCCTGGGACCAAGCTGGAAGAAAAGTCTACAACCTGCTCTGCCATACCCCTCTTTCCACATGGCTGGCAGACTGAGAACAGAAGAACCTAGTCTGAAGGTCAGCAACACAGGCCAGTGCTGGGCTAACCAGGGCCCTCACAGCAGAAAAGGGAAGAGAAATTCTACCTGCAAATCTCCAAGTAGCAGCCAATTTCCATCCAGACAGAACAGAAAGTAGGATTTAGTTGCTCAGCTTTAGCATTCCTGCCTTCCTGGGCATGATAAACCTAAGAATTGACCTATTTTGGCAAAAAATTCAACTTCTCAACATAGAAAAGTTCCTCTTCTTGTTTCTGGGGGACAGGATGGAACCAGCCTCTCCACCAGCTGCCCTGTGCCCACCTCCAGAGCCACACACACCCCTTTGAGCCTGGCTTTGCTGGCAAGATCTTGAAAGGCCTTTCTTACTTTTACTCTTTCCACAGCTGTAACCTCTTCCCTCATGAGTAGCAGCAATAAGATCATGAAGACTGCAGGTTCCCACCCTCTCTTTAGCCTTCAAGCTGCAAGCTATGCCCTTGTAAACTCTCAGCAATAACTCTCAGCTTCTCTGTGCCCCGAGAACACTGTAGCAAGCTCCCCCTCTGTCCTCATTGAACTCTACCCAGGTATCTCCTCCACTCTTTTTTATGGAGAAGATAGACACATTCACATTCTTTCTCTTTCTGGGGCTGAATTGCTAGTACCTATTCTAAACACTGTCTGAAACCTTCTGAAGCCATCACTGTTTTATTTGGCAAACACCTGGGCTAACGTTTGTCAAGGCAGGTTTCCAGAATTATTTGTAAGTTCAATCACAACAGTTCAACTGTTACAGAAAGCAAGGTTCAGAAAATAAAATAACTTTTGAAGTTAAACAACCAACCAACTTAAACATCAGTGGAACCTATTTCTCCTTTTTCCTCTCTCCCCTATATGCTTGCTTCAAAGCAACAAAGTCTGGCAAAAGCACTGGATTTATGCCAGGACATGCACCAGCAGCTCAGCATGACATTCTGGAAAAGCCAGAAGAAGGGGTACCACATGGCTTGCTCAACAGAAACATTTGTTAAGGCCTCCTTACCACAAAAATGACAAGTCAAGGGATGCTGAGATCCACACTACAAACACCCGTGTTGATGATGTGCTCTCTGGGTCACAGACAAAGCTACTGCTGGTGTGCCTCTTGTTACTGTCCTTGGATGGTTTGTGCAATGGACACATAGCAAATGGAACATGAACACATAAGAGGTGGCTGATGTGGTATAGTTTGGAGAGAGACTAGCCAGTGTATTTTAAATGTGCTTATATGATTCAGGTGGTGGTGGTGAATCAGAAAACAGATCCCAGATGACAAGGTGTAGAACACCACAAACCTTCTCAAAGTCAACTGCAGCCCTCACTCTCTGAAACACAAAACATGAGGCACTGGGAGAGTTGATCACTCTGCACATTGAGGGAAAAACATGAAGGCCCTCCAGAAGCAGTCCAGACGTTCCTCTTCATTCTCTTTTAGACAGAGACACTGCTTTTGCCACTTCGTGCTTTCTCTATCATGGCTGGGAAGACCATGTGCAACCCTAATGCGTTACCCAACCAAAGGCTGCTATAAGGAGATGAAAGGACTTACTCAAACACCTGGCAGAAAAGTACAAAGCCCAGAGTAAGGCCACAAAAATAAGTCAAAGCAAAATGCCCTCAATATGGATAAGGCATATGAGGATCACACCAGAATGCTGCTATGCCTGTACAAGACTAAGAGAATTACTTAGAATTACAATAAGGGGAAAAAAATACCATTGTTTGCAATGTCATTTTCTCAGTGCCTGACTCCACTGTTGTTAACTGTTGGTTGAAAGTGAAATTAAAGGGATTTTACTTTAAAAATGAAGAAAAACGCATTATAAGTCAGAGCCTGGTCTTGCAGAACATTATGCATTGCACATTAAGCACCCAAAATTAGCAGATGCTTTTCCTATAATCTGTCTGCCTTGATTACCAGTGGTTAGTGAACATACCAACCTCTTATCTCACAGGAACATTGCAAGGATAATTAAGACCTGTGTAGCATTCCAACTGTATTTGGAGTTAATGGTCATGCCAAAAGGAAATGAGTATTTTTGTACCCACTGAGTGCAGTTTGCACAGTGTCCTGTAAGGTGTACACATAACTCTAGAGTTAAAATACTGAATACAGTGAGTATCATTCACTATATACACTGAACAAAGCAGGAGAACCATAGGAAGAAAAAAAAAAGGACTTGATTGTGTAATTGAAAATCATCATAAAACTTCAAGGCAAGGCTACAGGCACAAGGCAAGGCTGGATACCATAGGCATTTCCTAGCTTCTGAATGGCTTCACAATCTTAGTATTGTGACAAAGCAGTGTATGTACTGCATGCGTTATGTTGTTACATACAGAAAACCTTTTATTTCTAGACTCTGGTCATAAAGACAATTGAAAGTTTTCAGAATTGCAGGCACCTAAGAAAGAAGCAAAAGGCAAGGAGACAACTACAAAAGCAAACACAGCTAAACAAAAAGTGGGTTTTCCTAATCAAGTGTAATGAAAAAGAAAATAGGAAAGACATGGTATTCCTCGTCCAAAATCTTTTATGTGCTTGGCTCAGCACAGTGTTTGACACTTTATTTTGTTACTGATGTCTTTTCCACCACAGCTAAAAACATTCCTTCAGTACAAGCTGACAGAAAGTTTAATTACTTTGGGAAATACTGCAACCATCTATAAATTAGTCTCTTCCTCCTTGTCATGGACCATCCTTCATTAGTGGTATTGTCATTTGTGGACTAATTACAGCAGGATCAACTGAAGCAGCTGAGGTTCATGATTAGAAGTCTAATCTCTATCAGGACACCCCTTTCTTCTGGAAGCCATAAAACATCTGCAACATCTGCCATGTATGTTAAAAATCTATCTTTAAAAAGGCAGGCTTCCAACACCATTAACATAACTTTGAAATTAATTACTGTTAAATGCTTATGAGAAAATATTCAAACAAATAAAGAGCAAGATTAAATATCAGGCAGTGTCTCTTCCAAGCCTCCAGTCACAGGCACTATGACAAGCGGTTCTTTGCAGATAACCCTCAGCCATATGTAGTCACATAGCATTTTTCCTTCATCCTGTGAAACATAACTTGAAAATCTCAAGCCAGTATTAAAATGTTCTTAGAGCTTTTGAATTTACTAATGACCACTTCTTCATTCAAAAGCCTCTTGCATATCCTAAGAATTCTCATCTTAAGAGATAAAAATAGTATCTCGGAACTAATAGATTAAAGCATGAGAAGCTAACTATATTCCATACTTTATATTCAAATAAAATTAAGCAAATAATAACATATGTACATGCTAATGCCTGAAGATAACTTGACAATGCATTTTTATAAATGAGAAAAAAAGAACAAGAACACTGCCTCAAGTAGGCTTCTCATTCTAACATACAACCTACAAAAAGTAAGGAAGCATATGATCTGGCACTAACCAATAAAGCATAATAGAAGGATGTATATAACTAATTCCAAGTAGCAATGGTTTGTGGAACTTGTCACAACTCCTGAAATCATTCTGATGCAAGAGAAAGAAAAACAACCTGTAGATAAAGCTGATGGTGTAGACCTACATATACACCAATATCTGTAAAATACCCATCTTCTTCTCCCATGACACCTTGATTAATAGAACAATATAAAGGCAACACATAAGCTAAGCCACTTGACAGATTTCAAAGTGTCATTTACAGTGTGGGAATTCAAGGTTGTTTGGCTACGCTTTCTTAGAAATAGTCAGGAAGGAAGTGACAGTTGTCTCTGTGCTATTAAGTTTTTTTATGAATGACTTGGGGAAACCAAATGTTTGCAGATGACAAAGATATTCAGGGAAACAGCATCTTAGGATTGAGTTCTCTACAATAGAAGAAGGATAAAGAGAAACAAAGGTTGAAAGTCAAACAAGTTAACTTAAGCTGAAATATTTAAGACGTTTCTGACTGAAGTTAGCAGAGTCAAGAGTTATTTACCAAGGCAAGCAGCTGAGTCTACCAAAGCTATTGTAAAAACAAAAACAGAAATTTTCCTTAAGTTCCATGATACTGAACCTGAAGCAAAACTAAGGCAGGATATCCTGAAGGTCCACATCAAACCACAGGTCAGGCTAGGTGGTCCCTTCTGAACTTTTTATCCACCATAGACTATATAGAGAGCTATTTAGTGATTAGTCAAATTTATTATAAGTGGTCACCTGCTACCCAAAGTAACCATACTCCAGAACTGACAGTTTTAATTCCACTTACTCCATTTTCATAGGGTAAGGGAAACAGATCCTATATTCTAGATGTTTTATCAAAGCCTTTAATCTACCTGAAAACAACTCTTATTTTCCTTGTGAAAGGCAATGACAACCCACGTGCACAGATGTATGAACATCATAATGTAGGATACTTTATTTCAGAGTCTGCTTTCCAAAATATTTGGTATTTAGAGACCCTCTCAACAACAATTAATCACCGATTCTCTCCACTAAAATTCACAAAGGGTGAAAAACTGAGGCTTAAAAAGCATACACACAACAGTCATCCCTGAAGTTCAGGCTCAGCATCAGCTAGAAATCTCAGTTTAGCTTTACATCTACAATATCAATCAGGCACTGTTATATTATGTCAGGTAATCTGTCCTACAGTGCTGGTAGTCCCCGTCTTTGCTCCCTGTTAAAGCACTCTAGCCCTTGCAAACCTATAAGACTTTGCTGACTCAAAAAAGGCAGAAAAGAACTCACTGATTTTGTAGATTCCAGAGACCCTGAAGATAGGGTGTCTCGGCTGCCCCGACTCTTGGAACTGAGATGGGGTGAGGATGATGGCGAGTCATCAATATAGGGCATCATATCATGATGTCGCCTCTGTTCTTCAGCACGGTCTGCATCATAGGCATAGCTAGGTGGTGTGCCACTGAATGAAGCATCTGGAAAACACAGGAGAAAAATCTGTCTGGTCAGAGTCAAGCTGGGCAGGAGATAGGCTGGTCAACCAGGGCACTGCCTGCCTCCCACCTATTATGATTACTTATCAGCAAACCCAGAGTCAGTGATAGCTAAATATACATCAAGTGGAGGTGTAAATTTAATTACACTCATGTTGGCACCAAACGCTCACTTCAGTCATTCTAAGTCCTAAAAGGTAAAGTCCTTTCCAGTATCTAAAATCAGTGTTCATTTAATTACAGCTCCTTCCCTCAAGTACTCCCTCAAAAGCATCAGCATAAAAATTAATCCTTTTGCAGGCTCCAACAAAGTTCTGCAGTCTGGGGTTAGGCACATAGTGCATTAGAGTAATAGACCCTGGGTTTTAATGCTGAACAAGAACAGATGATGCACCTGCCAGTTTAGCAATCCTAGATAATACACAGCTATGGGAGAAACATAACTCTTTCCAGACCTCTCAGGAACAAAGAAAGAAAGGTCTTACATGTCAAGTGGACCAGCCTATTGTCAAAAATAAAATCCTAAGAGGCCCTCTTGTACTGACTGCCTGCTCCTCCATTTGAAGACTAACTCCTTACACAAATGAAGAAACCACCACCCTGCTCCCTCCTACACACCACCACCCCCCAAATAACAGAAACAAACCACCCAACCAAAACCAATCGTGAATATGTGGTATTAATACTCAAATTAACCATTACTGTATGAGATATCAATGAACTTCAGCTGGAAAGATGAGTAGTAAAATTGGTTCTGGTACTTCTAGTAGCTGCATACAGAGACTGTTTCTGCAAAAATCTATGTTCAAGACACAGTGAGCAGATCCTTGTACCATAGGTTAAAAGGTCTTTCACCTCATCGCACAAAGAAATATACACAAGAGGACCAAAACTTGCTTTCTGCACAGTGGCACTGCCTCACACACATCTTGCCTGAGAGAAGCTGGAGACAACCTTACGTATGAGTTACATGGGCCTGGAAAGCACCTTCACCTGTCATGCCCACATGTCCCATGTGTAACAGGAACTGCCACGCATGGCTGCACTTAAATGGTAGGGTCGTTCCTCTTCTTTCACTTACAGGTCACAAAACACCACTCTTCTCCCCAGACTAAAAAATAACCACAGGGAGATAAGCGAGATCCACTTTTACAGTAGCAAGGAGCTTTCTGGAAAACAAAGTCACACATACAAAAAAAAACAAAAAACAAAGGTTTTTTGTCTTACAAGTTTAAAATAATGCATTAAATTCACACTCGAACACAAGTAGAACTAATTTTTACTTGTTTTCACAAATATCCAGGTTCTGTGAACATACTAAGCAGCAGTTGCCAAGCATACTAATAATTGTGTTATACATCACTAAGGCAGGGTGGAGGAGTAACATTTTAAAGCCCACTTTCCTCCCTCACACTAAACTCAGTTAAAGCATGACTCATTCCAGTAAAGGATGTGAACTCTGTGTGGAACAGAATAAAACTTGATCCATGTGGCTTATTCAGGAGGGAGAGCTGGTCTAGGGAATTTACGCAAACACACTGAAAATCCAACAATAAACCCACTGTAGAAGTGAGCCTCTGTCTTGATTCATACCAAATACCACCCAACCTAAGAACAGCTATATGAGGCCTGGAGGCTGCTGAAGGACTATGGCAATATTATTTTAACAAGCTCAATGAATTTTATGTCACCCACCCACTCGTGGTATTACCTTGTGCTCAAGAAGCTCTCAAGAGTTCCTCAAAATGCTCATTAGATTGAGCAAGTCCACAGGAATGGGGAGGAGGGGAGAGAAGTGGTACATGTGCTCTGGAAGAGACTTTTGTCTAGATGTTAGAGGTTTCCAGAGCTCCCCAGCCGTTCAGAAGACACCTTATTAAGTTGATTTGGTAAACAGGGGCTTGAAAGGGAGTTGCTGAAATAAGGATATTCAGTCACAAACAAAAGAACTTTTAGATATCCCAAAGCTGCACAATGTCTACACCTGCAAGCCAAACACATCTCAGGCTGGAATTTTCAAAAGCTCCTTAGGTAAAAGCATGCAGAGAGAAGACAGAATGGCCCCACCAAACAGGGGAGGAAACACTGAAAAGAACAAGTACAGCTACCCTCCTCACACACAAGATGGATGGTCTCTTGTTTGGCCAGATGGGTAAGGGACTGTTACAGGAACCAGAATAATAAAGAGGAAGGAGGCTAGGTGGCTCATTGCATCCCTGCACTATTTATGCCATATTAAAACATACAATAAGAAGAACCCCACACCACAAAACCCTAACATCATGTAACTTTGGTGGAGGAGTAGAGATACCTGTTTTCCATTCAGTTGTGTCTGGTGCAACTTTCTAACCCAAGAAGCCTGCAAGGCATTGCTTACAGTTTAACGCTGACATTATCCAAGGAGGAACATCAGCACTGGGTGCTTATGTAGGCTTCATGCTTTGGTCAAGCAAGAGGTTTTGTTTCCCTTCAAAAGTTTCTTCAAACTACTTTTGTCCAAACCAGCTCCTCCTGAACACATGCTGTAGCAGGACCATGTTGCTGTGCAGAAATTAAGGCAGGAATACTTATTTTCACTCCCAATGCTTGCTGTCAAAATTTGTAGTTTTCTCCACTTCTGTTAATGGAGGAGTGAATGTAGATTAAAATATATTAGCAGAAAGGCTTGCAGTGAATCACAGTGTTTTTACTTTCCTCACTTTCTCCTGCTAAAAAGCAGGCTTCACACTTCTACCTTCCATAACATGTTCTGTCTCCTACTGCACAGGGAAACCTTTATCTGTTTATCAGAGAAACTGAAGGCAAGAGCAGGTGGAGGACTTAGGCTCAGAAGAGGAGATCTATTCCTAGCTCTGCAACAAGATTCAGTCTACCTTTGAATCACTGTCTCCCTATCCATACAAAGGAAAATAACACATCTCAACAAGTAATGAATCCATCAGTGTCACAGCCTGCCCATGAGATCTGTGCACAGAAAGCTCCACACAGAATTTAAAACTTTATTTCTGTATCCTCCAAGGATCCTTCACACATTAAAAAGCTTAGAAGTAGTTATAATCCCTATTCTTTCTATCACTGCTGCGTGCAGCACTGAAATTTACCTATGGAGGTTTCAATTATCTCCAAGGCGCAAGGACCTTCTTGCTTTTATTCTACCTTTTTTTTTTCCAACAGAAGCTAAGTATTACTGTAGCCAGACACACTATGCAAGTCTTAACACTAATAACAGAGGTAGACTTTTATCTCTGTGATTAGAGAGACCACTGTTGCTAGGGAAACTAGGTTATTCAGATATCCTAAACCCTCACAATGCTGCACAGGCTGTTCAGGCTCTACCTGGGAGCAAAAAGAGCAAAGCAGAGATTAGAGCCAGCAGCTCACCTGCTCAGACACTTCCAGGTGCTGCTGTTCTAGATGGCAATGGAGACAGCAGCCTGGCCCAAGCAAGAGCTCTTGGTTTCTTAGCCAGTGTCTCAGGCAGGGTGAGCATTAAATAGGTTCTTATTCTCGTTTCAGAGGCAGCCAGCAAATCATCAGTAACAGAGCAATCAAAACAAGAGAAAGATGAAATACAGGAATGCCAACTGCTGACCAAGGACAACTAAGGACAAAAGGTAGGCATGCCAGGATGATGTGCTCACATATGCTGTATTGAGAGAGCACCAGGGAGGGATACTGAGGACACTACTAAATGTGTTGTACCTCTCTCACCTCACCAGCAGGGCCCCTTTCTCCTCGTCTTTGGGTAACCTGTAGGAGAGCCTAAGCCATAGAGAAGAGCAGCAGCTGTGACTTACAGAAATGAGCCCTCTCAGCACCCGTGAGTAGCTTTCTCTCATAGAACTCCTCTCCTGCACTAGCACAATCTTCAGATGCAATGATCTACCTGGGGCTACTACAATGGTTCATCACCAATTCACATATTCTGCTAAAACCCTCATTTACTTCCATTCTTGGTTCTGAACCTCCCTGGCCTTGCTTTGCTCCAGCTTTTATGAATCTGTTCCACCACTCCCCTTCTCAGTTACTGCTGCCATCCTCTCACTTCCTTTCTCATGTCTATCCCCTTTTCATTCTTTTGGTTTTCTCAGACTTAGTATTCCTTTATTTTCCTGTTTGTCCCCTCTTCTAAACTGCTCCTCTCCTTCACTGGCTCAAATTTCACCTGGCTGGGTGTAAGGAAGAATCTAACAAATTTACAGTTTGTCACAAATTCACTGGCACTCAGACATAGCACAGAAACACTGTTCCCCTCTCCTTTTGCCTACACCCTTCCTGCTGGGTGCCACGTTCATTCTTTGGGAATATGAAATCCAGTCATCCATCTAACTTGAAAGCAGGAAGGGAAAAATAAATTAACTTATAAGTAGAAAGAAAGATTTGCTGTGTCTAATCCAGGGCCACACAATGGTTCAATGCATGTGTCATACTTTCACAGCATCACAACATCCATAGCTGCTGGAGAGGCTTAACAGAGGCACACAGAAGCTTCCAAGCTAACTGTGCTCAGCTAATCCCGCTAAAGGAGCGGTGAAGCTGCAGCAGCTCAGACCTGCCTGCCTAAGTAAATACCTACAATCCTAGAGGGGGAAGGGAGTTGCACCTCATGCCAAAGCCCCACATCACTGTGGTTTCATTGTAAATGGTACCAAGGCTAGCACAAGTTTGTAATGTCTACACTCACTCCAAAAACATTCCTGCAGCTGCAGAGCAGAAGAGAGCAAAGGCAGTTTGCATCCTCAGACTGTGTGTTTCTATGCCAGGGAATGTGTGAGGCCATAGTTTGACAATGCATTGTCTTGGCAGCAGTAAGGTTTAAGGTTTCCCCCACCAAACCATAAACCACTGCATGGCCTTTTCCCCTCTTACCCCTTTATTCTGCAACCCCACAGATGTCTACGGTCCAGATAAAGAACTCGGCCAGCTCAAAGAAAAGTATCTTCCCTTCTAAGCTGGATCAGCTCTCTGATCTAGTTCATGGC